AGAGATTGTCACTTCTATCCTGGATCAAGGTGCTTTGCTTTTGACAAAAGAGATGCTCCCTTACTCTTAGTCTGTCTTGAGCCAATTTGGTATAGGTGTGCTGTAAAATGCTAGAAGCAAAAACTTATTAGAGGGTGCTGAAAAGTTCTTGGTTGTATGACCATGAAATTTTCCATACTTACTTTTCACTGCCATTCATGTAACATAATAAATATATAAATAAGTGAACACAGAGGTCATCACTGAATGGTGACATTATGTTTCATAGTTGAACACAATCTTCAGGCTTGAAGAATGTTTAGTGTTCAAGCATGAAACACTGTTGCCACTCAGTGTTGACCTCTGTGTCCACACACACACACACACACACACACATAATAGGAAAATGAACAAGTAGGAGACAGATCTTAATGTTTCACTTTATTAAAGTTTCATCAGGGATCAAGATAATAGAAATGATAAAAAGCAAAGAGAAGCAGATAAAGGGTATTTTGTGTTAAGCTATTTCATTGCTTAGGTACATGTCACATGTAATGAAATAATATATATTATTTACATATACCCTCCCCACCCACAATATTGATCACTTATACCTATAAATGTAACATATTTAAAAATATATTTTTATCATAGTATGTGTGTGTGTGTGTGATAGAGATTGCATTTTATATATCTGGATATTCATATTTGTCCATACATAAATAATCTGATCATTTATTTTCAGGTTTTTTTCTGAAAGAGTTTACTTGTCAATTAAAAAAGAAAAAAAAAGACGACAGTAATTAGCTTTGTTATTGTAAACTCTCAAAAACTTGGTTGCTCTGCATTTTATTGTTTATGTTCAGTATTCCTTGAATATTAGATTAAGCATATAACTTTCTATTCACTGTTGAAGCATTATGTAATTTTATTTAACACAGTTTTATAGCAAATGGCTTTTTCTATGGGTTCAAGATGGTAACATCAGTTGTGTTGGAAAGTTGAAAATGCCGGAGAAAGAAAGAAAGAAAAAAAATAATTAAAAAGCATCTTGGCATTTAATCCCTCATATAAAAAGTGTACAGCAGAAATACCTCCCCCTCTCCCACACAAGACATTAATGGCAGTGATGTTTTACCATTATGTGGGGGGGGGGAGTATTTCTGACACACCCTGTACTTATACCTCATTTTTCCAATCATAATTCTGAATGAGAAATGGTGAAAAGTTTGTAAATACAGAAATTTTATTTTATCCATATTGAAAGCACATGTCATTTATTTTAAAAATAAATAAAAAATATCTAAAATTATATATAAAAATTCAATTCTTATTGTGAAGCTACTTTTTTTCTCTCTCTCTCTTTAACCACCACTTTATATTTCTAGACTTGAGTCTTCTCAGAGGGTTTTTTTTTTTTTTTTGATGGTTCAACAAATGACACAGAAGCAGATGATAGTTATACTGATGATTTTGACTGAACTAATATCAAAACCTTTCTAATTCATTTTCCAACAGAAGTGTGTGTGTGTGTATATATATATATATATATATATATATATATATATATATATATATATACACACACACAAAAGTAACAAAAATAATAAAAGCAATGTTATAACTGATCTGGTTGTTATGTTAATGGCCATTATAAAGGAGCATCTCACAACTCTCAAATATAGATCAGGTGGTTGGGTGGGTGGTTCATGATACTTACTGATAACTGTAAAAGTCACATTGTCTATTATATTGTGTAATAGATACATTTTTGGGACTGTTCAGAAAGTGATTACTGAAAGATGTCTTGAAGAGAGAAAATTGATTGTCTTTGCTTTAATTTCTTTGTCATTTCAAGCAAAATATTACTTTTCCATTAATGCTTTAAGCACATTATCAGTCACTGTAATATGAGATATTTTAACTAAAAATGATAGGTACTTAGATACCATATAGCATTTATTAAGAATTTCAAAATACTATTCTTTTTATTAGTTGGTGAATGGCAGAAGATACTACATAGTTTTTCATAAGCAACTGGTATGTATTTTCTGTGTCCATTGTTTACTGGCAGTAATTAATGAGTATAATTTAATATGAAGAAAATGAATTGCACCTGACCATACTGTATGGATTTCCACTTGAGCAAAACTATTGCTCAGATTGGATCATTTATTTTACCAATAAATTTGATGTTACAACCTAGACTTATCTGCAAGTATATGCTGTATTCATAAGAGATTTGCTACTTATAACTTGCATGTTCCTAACAGATTAACAATTTTATGTTGATGTCTCAAACACTGTGTAGAAATAGGTAAAAACATGACCCTGTATGGTAACTTTGAGCTATTTATTTATCTCAACTGGGTAGTATATACCTGACTTAACTGTCTATTTTTCATGTAATACAGCCAGTTAAACTATCTTAAGATAATTCAAATGTACTCTGCTTGATTATTTATTTTCAAACAAATTTCAGTGTTTACTTCATTTTATGGTTATCTAGTGAAAAGAAATTTTCTTCTATATTGGTTATTTTAAAATAATCAATTTTTTTTTATTGCTTGCCAAGAGTTTGTTTTCAGTATTAAACTTAGGAGGGTACTTAGTTGATTACAATCATGACACATGCACAAAAACTAGTGTTTTTTACTTTAATTACATTTTACATTTTAAAATAATTTGAGTTTTCTCCTTGATATTGATATATATATTTACTTATTTAATATTTAAAGCATGTGCTCAAATGTTTTATGTTATTAAAGTAAATATACAAAAAGTATTCATGCTGACAGTCTTTTTATTTCTTATTATTGCTTTAGAATTGTTAGTACTTTCAAATTCATAGAAAATCTTTATGGTTGTAATAAAATCTATATGCTCAGGATTTCGTCTTGCCAATTGAATAGAAGTACTTGTATTATTCCATTGTTGCTTTTGACTTTGAGAAAATTCTTTTTGCTTGTAATACAGGATACAGCATAAATACTGTAACAAAATTTCAAATGGATTCTACTTCTAAATGTTTGGTCATTACATTGTTGTTTATGGTTTGATACTCACCCAACAGTGTATACTATTTGTTTTTTTTCAAAGGGTTTTAGTATTTACTGGCAACAATGTCTATAGAAATTAAAAGAAAGCATATAATTGAGTAACAGGAAAATGGACAGACTCCATGTGAGATTTTTAAAGCTGAAAAACAACTTGGATTCAATAGAATGTTTATCAAAACGATATCAGTCGATACAGCAAGACATCTGCCATCAGAGATAGACCGAGGCTTGGATGTCATTGCTCCTCCAGAACGCCAAAATTCATTAAACAGGTGCATAAAATAATCAGGTGTAATCCAAGAAGGTCAATAAGAAAATTGGCTAAGGTGGCCAGAACATCGGTGACAACCATGCGGAGGTTATGTTGAAATGATCTAGGAATATCACTCTACAAGATGACCAAGAGATGGTTTCATTTAACAGCCACAGTGAAAAAGAAGCTTCAAAGCAGTTGCTGAAATAAATTTATGGCACACTGCAAAACATCATCTTCACTGATGAGAAACTGTTCACTGTTGAACAGACTTTTAATCATTAAAATGATTGGGTTCTTTCAAAAAGTCATCAGTCAGTTCCTGCCGCTTCAGGAAAATGCCTCAGAAACAGGGATCAATTATGGTATGGGCCACCATTTCAGAAAGAGTCAAGTCTCCTTGTGTTTTCTTGCCTCACAGGGTAAAGATCAACAAAGAAGTGTACATCTTGGAAGCTGTACTCAAACCGTGGTGCAATGCCACTTAAGATTGGACACTTTGACAAGATGAGGTGACAAGCCATACTGTTAGTGTAATACAGCAGTGGTGCAGACACTTGTCCTGGCTTCATCACCAAGGACAAATGATCTCCCTTATCATCAAATATCAGCACTCTTGACTATTGCTTTTGGGCAGTTCTTACGAGTGAGGCCTGTGTTACTCTGCACCACAATCTTGAAACTATAGAGGCAAAATTGAAGAGCGTATGGGACAAAATATGAGTGGAAACTGTGCATGTGGCCATCAATGACTTTTCTGAAAGATTTCAATGTTATGGTGAAGGCTAAAGGGGAATCATATTGAATGAGATTTTCTGGTCTTATTTAACAGATTAATGCTTACTTTGTCTTAAAATCGTAGCCTGACATAATAAATTTTTCAGTAGTTATGAGCTTTTCCTTTTGTAACATTATTTATAACACACCCTGTATAAAATACCCCTTTACTCATACTCGGCACAGTAGCAAAGTAGATTCCTGCCAATAAACTGTTTCAGTAAGAATGAACTATTTGTTAATGCAATTTTGCTTAGGTATATACAAAGCTCATGAGTTTTAAATAGCAAGGGAGAGGATTTAAAATGGCCAATGATTTGGTGGCGATCAATTGATCAACTAGTAAGCTGCTTGAAATCATTTTTTAAACGTATTTGTGTAATTTAATTAAACTACTATTCATCATCAGTAAAATTATAATTTTAATGTTATTCTGATGATGCTAATTTTATCTCTCTCAAAGATTTTATTTAAGCTTTTTGTTCTCTTTTATGTGTTGCATTGTTTTGCTATTTAATGTTTTGTTGTTCAGCTTTCTCTGCCTGAATGAATTTTATGTATGAACGTCTTTCATGTCATGTATAGCCTGATTGAATTGTAACTTCCTCTATTCACCATTTGGGACTCTGCATTGACAGAAACAAATATGCTCTGTTCTTCCTTTTTCTTTATTTTCTTTTTATTAACTATCTTATTTTGACAAAAATCACTTCTATAAAATCAGACTTTGTCAAGTTAACGTCAGAGATATTGAAAAAGAAAAAAAAAAAAAGGATCTCTTCCAAATTAAATCTCTTTTAAAAGAAATCCTTTCTAGCAGTACTTCAAAAAGAAAGAAAGAAGCCCTAATCAATTCTTTTCTTTTTTCTTTTTTTTAACATATAAATTTTAAGGGATATTTTTTCAATTTTTTTCCCATTCTTCTTTTGCAGTGGAAGAGAGGAAGTTGTTTGTTGGTATGATCTCAAAGAAATTCAATGAAAGTGATATACGAATTTTGTTTTCTAACTATGGATCAATAGAAGATTGTACAGTATTAAGAGACCAAAATGGGCAAAGTAAAGGTAATTTTTATTATTTTTTTTCCATTTCTATTTTTATAGCTATTTTATTTTATTCCTTTAATATTAAACTAACCAAGTGACAACAATTCCCCTGATAAGCTTTCAGACTCAGATAACTTCTAAGATCCATATGCAGTTATTTGCTTGAAGTTCGTGGCATATCTAAGTATCTATTACACAATCTTTTTTCATTTGATTGCAACAACTCTGATAAAATGTCAGTAGCAAGACTTGGATACGTTGGCTACTAATTTCTCATTGCAGATATAGTCAGCCTCAACTATTAAAATCATTTGACCAAAGGTTACTCTGACAAGATGACAAGCAAAGCATCTGCTTTTGTCTTTTTTATTCAGGCCAGTATTTGGGTTTTAAGGGAATGCATTTGAGAAGGCAACCTAAATCCCTCTTGCTTTTTTAAAAACACATAGACACTCATGAGACGTTATGAGTTGTTTTTGTTGATAAATGTCAGCAAAAAAATCTATACACAATGGTTAACCTTTTTTACTGTTATCTTGTAATGGAAAAAGAAGGTCATATATATATATATATATATATATATATATATATATATATATATATATGTATTTATGTAGCAGATGTATGTCACTTTGTACACATAATTATATATTTATTTACATGTGTACAGCACAAAGTATTGTATATTAAAATACTGAATATTTTCTTTGTGTTAACCAGAATCTAATCATTTCAAGATATTTTGTACCAACAATCAAAAGATCTAAACATTTCCAGTAGATTAGGGTAACCATTATTTTTGTAAATTGTTTCAAATATAAAGATTTTTTAAGAAAGTTTTTTTTTTTGTATAACTTTCGACATAAATGTGCAGATGCTAGTTTAAATGGTAAAATTATCTTATATCAAATAGAGGGCAAAATGCATTCCGTTTGTGCCATAATCAAAGAAAGGAATTCACTTTTCTTTTTTTTTTTTTTAAACTGCTCTACTTTCTTTGAAAGCAATCAGTATGTTGTCCTGTTTTTGTGATTTGTCCTGTTTTGATTCTTTGTTGAATCTGTGGTATGAATGATTGATCAATAATATTCATGTTATTTTATTTGCAGCTGTCTCCAAAACGTTTGGCCATAAGTAATCTCATGGGAGGGGTAGTGGGAGAAAAAAAAAAATCCTCCGTAGCCAATTTATATTGATCTTTTATTTCTTTTGTACAAGTATCTTCCCAGCCTCCTGTCTTCTGCCCCCAATTGTCATGTCAGTCAAAGCAAGGGTTGATTCACTGAAGAATAGATTTTTCTAAACTATTATAGGTGGGAAAATATTTGGTAAAATGCACACATTCTTCTTACTATTAATGTTGCTCTTCAATCCATTATAATATTGGAAGGATTTAGAATTAGATTGTTTTTTTTTGCACATAAGCATCTCTCTATACACAAACACAGATATATATATATATATATATATATATATAAAATAGCCAAAATCATTTCAGTAAACTCATTATTGATTGGTTGAAAAACATGTTGGTAATTTCCATAACCTTCTGACAAAATTAATATCCACTGTTTTTTTTTTTTTTTTTTTTTTTTTTTTTTTTAAATAGCATTTTGAATATAAGGGATCAACTAAATGATTTCATTTATATTTCTAGTAGTGTTCACTTTGTTATTAAAGAAATTCTACTCTTAAGTGTTTATAAGATTTTATTGTATTAGTCAAGTGTGGTACTTATTGTATTTGAAGGTTTTATAATGTAAAACATTAATTCTATCTTTTTTAATGCTAATTGCTATTCTATTCACTTTCATAATATGCTTTTCTTTGTTATTGTCCATTAATGCTGTACAGTTGACCATAATTTTACAGTTTGATGATTTTGTAATTAACTTTGGATATGTTATCACCGATGCTGTTCCCTCTTATTGGAATAATGCTGGGTTAGGTTCCCATATTGTAGAGGGGAGGCATTTGCACCAAAGTGGATCATGTGTGCTGACAAAGAATCTTGTTTCTCTCAAGACCATTTATAGTATAATTCAGTTATAAACTTAAATTGGTTATAAAATGTAACAATAATATTTCAAAAAATTAAAATCTCACAATAAAAATTTGAGGAATTTTGTTTCTTTTCCCAAATAATTCTCTGAAGGGATATATATATATATATATATATATATATATATATATATATATATATATATGTATTTTTCACTTATATGAATAAAAACATAAAAATCAAAGAATTATTGATACAGAATGATTTTAGTTTGTCATTAGTAAATCTTATTAAAGATAAAATTAATTACAAGAAAAGAAACATCTTGCACCTTATAGCTGGCTTTTTTCAGATAAGTTTGTTTGGTTTGAAGTGATCTTGTAATAAATATAGCTATTTTATTCTACTTGCTTGCATGGATTATTTTATGTAATGCTATTAAATTCTAGTAATTTTAGATCAGTGGTGTTGTTTGAAACCTTGTAATATGCATAGCACTAACCAATTTCTTGTATAGTGTTGCTTATCTTAATTGGAAGCTGTTTTCTCATCTAAAATGTCATTTCATTTGTTATGGAAAGAGTTGCTTACCTCTATTTTTGTTTTTGGCTGATTTCAGAACAAGGTCATGTTTTTCACTGAGTATTTTGCCTGTCTGTATCACAAGGAAAAGTGATTTGAGGAATTTAAGTGTCCCTAATATGAGTGTTGACTTTTAAAAAATTTTTTTTCTTTTAAAGGTGACGTTTGACATTTGATTCTTAGAATTGATATCATCTTCAAAAAACTGCTTGAAAAACTTCCCACTTTCCCCTACTTAATATGTTCGGTATATTTTTCTGCTTGACCTACATTGACTTTCTGCCTTGCAGATTTTTGTAGAGAAGTAATAGTTCCTTATTGCATCAAAAAAATTCTACATTTTTTTTTTTTTTTTTTTTTTTTTGTATTGCATTTGGTAGGTAGAAACAATCTGAAAACGTCACTGAGAATTCTTAAAAAGAACAGTGCTTTGCCAAGTAACCATTCAAGTTTAGAAGTTATCAAAGATTTTACCAGAGTAAAGGAAAATTTGAGGTGTGGTGGGAGAGCAGAAAATGTAATTTCATAGTAATTTATCAAACTTGTCTTGTGAAGTATATGACATCAAAGATATTCCTTTGATGATGAATTTTGGAAAATTTCTTGCAAATTTTGAATTACATTTTTTACTTGTAAAAAAAAAAAAATGTCCTGTTTTTTTTGTGTGTTTTTTTTTTTTTTTTTTGTTGGAATAAGAAAGAAGTTTCTTTTCTTATGTTGTTGGTTAGATGACTTTATTTAGAAAGGCTGTAGCAATGCTCCCTCACTCCCTCTGCAAAAAGAAAACAAAAACAATGAATTTAGCCAATATTTAATTAAATCTTATTAAAGACATTTTTCTTATTATGTTAAGTGATATAAATTTAACATTATATATTGATCAATATACATAAGGAGGTGATGTTAGTTTAACTGGATGCTAAAAGATTCTTCTGTACTGGATATTTTTATTGTTTAATATAATGTACCTATCATGCTATAAAGAATATCTAATTTTTACTGTTGATCTCAGTGCCATTATGGAAAAGTAAAAAAAAAAAAAAAGTTGCATTTTTTTAGGTCAAATATCATCAATTCAATGTTATTTCAAATCATAATGAGTAAGAAAGGAATTTAGGTGTTATTATTAGGATTATTATTAATTATTATTAGGATTATCAATGAATCGGATCTGTTCTCTCATAACAGTAGGCTCTAAGAATCACAAGCATTCGTTAACTTCTTGTCTGTTTTCTTCTTCAGTGCTTTATCTCAGTTGGATTTTTCAAGCATATTATGGATTGGTAAAATTTCAAATCTCCTGCTTTCATTTGTTTAGTCTTTTATTTGTTTAGATCTTGATTAGTGTTTAGTTAAATGAAGAGTTTATTTTAATATTGAAATAACAAAAAATAAGTCAAATATTGTACTATTACTAAATCTTTTTTCCTTTAAATGAAAATTCTTTATTTTTCTCTCATGGTTCCCAGTCATGGGATGATGCTTAATTTCAAAATTCCTTTCAACAAGCATAGACTGGTCATACTAATTTTTTTTTTTTTTTTTTTTAAATATTCATGAGTTAAAGGTTTTGCTTTGAAGGAGGTAAGAAATATTTCTTACAGCTGTTTGACAATGTAGAATTTTTTGTATTTTTGTAGGTTGTGCATTTGTTACTTTTAATAACCGACAGAGTGCTCAGAATGCTATCAAAAACATGCACCATTCACAAACAATGGAGGTAAGTAATTGCTTTTACAATTATTCTATAGACAAATAATTTTATTTTTTATACTTAAAAAAAAAAAAAAAATGCATTTTAAAAACTTATTAATAAACTACTTAACTGAAAATATGTAAATCAGTCCAAGTTTTATTGTTTGCTTTCAAACATGTGTAGTAATGTAATGTTTCTGTCTTATCTTTATTTTTTAATAGGGAGTTACAGCATTAATATTTTTTGTTTTTTAAATATATCAAATAACTAGATTGTCATTTAGATTGCATTCGTCATTGTCAGGAAATATATTTATATTGTCTGATGCTTCTTTAAAAAAAAAATTCTCAGAATTTGTGACTACAAAAGAATTGAGGGTTTGATTTGTGTGTGTGCTTATGACTACTACAAATACATTCTGCTTTTTTGATCTTTGAATCTTGCCATTCTTGTGTCATACAGGATGGTGGCAGGAGGCAGTATACAACTACTCCTCCTGCATATTTCAGGTCACCCACCATCATCCTACAAGTTGTATGTATTAAGGAGGCAACATGCACATCGAATCACAAGTGAAAATCAATATTGAATTTTTTTTTTGTTTTTGTTTCTTTTTTCACCCTTATGACTCAGAAGTATATGTAGTTGGTGGAAGAAGAGAAGACCCCTGTTAAAAACAAAACATGCTTGAATGATTAGCTCACTTGGAATAAATAACTTTTGATCCACATTCACAAGAAGTGATATTCCTGTTATTTAACTCCCATCTTTAAAGGGATTCATTATTGGATTCTAGTATTTGTTTCCATCAATCGGGGTAATGTAACAACAAATTAAAATAAAAATCATATTTCAAGAAACACTGATTATTTTCTGCATTGACAATTTTTTTTTTTACTGAAATTTTCCAGTAATAATGTAGTTCAACTGAAATATTTAATTCAATTAGGATTGATTATTATTGTAACATATAACATCTTTTTAAAACTGCTCATTCTAGTATTCCATGAACAGCAATGGGAATTAAATTTTGGCTTGGATTTATTTTCTTTTACACTGCAATATTATTTCTGTCAAAATATTACATTTCCAGAAATTAAGTAAGCACTTTATCAATAGAATATCACATGTAAACATTTTAGTTAAAATATAGCAAAAAAAAACCCCCAAAAAACAAACTACCTTTGAATGCTAGGAAGTTAGCAAATGTCATGTATTTTAATTAATATTGAACTGTTTCAAGTTGTAACAGTATTACAAATTATTTTTGAGGAATTATTAATTCAGATATATTTCAAATAAAGTATGTGTAATTTTTTTTTTTTCTTTTTAACTAAATTATTTTTTTATATAATAGGTCACAATCTAAACCTCTGTTCATGTTGGTAGAAATAATAAAATGAGGTTTTAAATGAGAATAATGAGTTTTAAATTCTATCTTCTAGATTTATGGGTCCTCTTCTAACAAATGGTAAATGCTGCCATTTAGTAAGAAACTTGATATAGCTGAATGACTATTGTTAGGTAATTGAGCCTATTTGATGTGCTTCTGTTCAAAGCAAGCTAATGAAATTATTGCACATAAGTTGACCTAAAGATTTCTCATATACAAAAGTATACACAAAATAGCAAAATAAACTTAATTTTTTTCTGCTATTACACTTTATTCTAAAATAATGAATATTTTAAATTAAAATTTTTTTTTTTTTTTCTTTCTGATCACTATGTTTGGTTATCTTTATTTGATTTTATTGAATGTGATCTTTTTCATTCAGCTATTTTAACAACCAACCCTTTCTCATTGTCCCTCATCATTTTGTAAACACATAATGCTGTTTGATTATCTATTGACAAGTATTTATATATCCAAAGCTGCCATTTATTAGAAACTTTTTCACATTGTGATGGATTTTCTTTTATTTAGACTATTGTCTATGCCTATGATCTTTCTTTGCCAAACTAAAAGCTTTCAAACATTAATTAATGACCCAAGTTGTTTTTATTTTGAAGTTTAAAGCTAGCATGAAGTAAGACTTAAGAAAACTTAAATAATTTTCTCTTTCAGTGTGAAAAAGTTCAAAATTAATTCATTGATCTTAAAATAGAAAAATTGTGCTGCATTGTTAAATTTTGTTTCAACTAAATTTTCTCTATTTGTTTAACATTCTATATTTAAGTAATTTCATTGTGGATTAGATGAAGTATGCAAAATAATTGTTTTAACCAAGCAATACACTTTGAAACTTGGTTATCATTTGGTTTCTCGATTAAGATAACTTAAAGCCATTCTGTGGCTAATGCTCCTAGTTGTTTCTTTCTATGACTTATTAACTTGTCGTTCATTGCTAGATTATGAGTATTGATTAAGATGTTAATCTTTCCACGAGCCTGTTTAAAATATCACTTTCTCTTTGCATGGTAGCTGTGATCTCATTCAAGTTTTACTAAACATAGCTTTGCTGACTTGAGATTTTAAAATAGTGGAGCACCTAGTAAGGATTGACTCAACAAGTTGAACCAGATTGGTTTAAGATACGAGTTTGTTAACCATGGAAGTTACCCAGTCATGCTAGTGATCAGCTCATCATGGGCAACCTCACTATTATAAAGATGATTTAACATAAACATTATCAGCTATTTATGACTTCTGACTTTAAATTATTCAATATAATCATTTTTTTATAACTACACTGTAACACACACAGAGTTTCTTGATGTTAAAACTAGTAGCAGCACATTTATTTTAAATGATTATTTAATGTTGTTTTAGTTTGTAACTTCATTAATTCACAAGTTTGATTTCTATATTTACTGTACTCAGTTATAATGTCAGTTTGAAGTAGAATTGTGTTCAGTTTGGTGGCTATCTGTTGGTTTGAATCTTTATTATCTAGCCCCTCACCCTTTTTTTTAATGGGACTAAGATGAGCTAAACAACTATACTGTTAGTGTTTCATGCTATCTACTCCTTGCTCCTACCCCCATGTGATTAAAGGCTTTTCATGATTGCTGATATTTTGAATATTTAGCTTGTTTTATTCATAACTTAACATTTACCACTTTACCATGGATTTTTTCCTACTTTGGATCTTTTAAGTAAAGTTTCAGAAAAATTCCTGTCTACTCAGTTTAAGGAATATTCTTGTTTGCTGTCAAATTGGTCACTGAATATTTTGTCAGCAAAGACAGGAAGGGCATAATGCTTAGTGCTTCATGATGCATAATGGTTGTGAGGAAAACAAAAAAACTTTGCTAAAAAGATTTTTCTAAAATTTACTTTCATCCATTAGTTCTTGATTATTTTGACAAGAAAATCAGTTGGTTTCTAATACAAACTTTATACACCAGAATTATTAAAGAACTATTGAAAAGTACAGTTTTTGAGACTTATTGGGTCTGAACTGTTTTTTAAGTAAGATTTCCTACAATCTGCAAATAAAAAATTAAGAATCTATAATTGTTATTCAACTGTTTCTGTTGGGACTTAATGTTCTTTCTAATCATTATAATCCTGATAAAAATTACCAGATACCAATAAAATCCTATTTAATTCTTTGAATGTTGTTAGTTGAATGGCACTCTCCCCCCCTTTTTATTATTATACATATTCTGTTGTGACTTTCGTTATTCCTTGACAATAAAGATGTGTATAAACAGTTTACGTGGAAAACATGTTCCTGATTTTAAATGTTGACTTAATTCTTTTTTTTTCTTTTTTTCTTAAGGACTATTTTCACATGCAAAGAATTTATCTATAACTTAATTGTCAATAAGTTTTACATGAATCTATTAACATATATATTTCTTTTTAATTTTCGTAGGGATGTTCTTCACCACTGGTTGTAAAATTTGCAGATACTCAGAGAGAAAAAGAGGCTAAAAAACTGCAACAGATGAATGCTAATTTATGGAATTTATCTCTGGGAGGTTTAGGTCCATTAGCTCCACAGTATGTGTCGGTATGTAATCCTTTTAATTGTAGCATTTACTTATTGTTCATGAATATCAGAATGCTTTCTTTTGAATTTATTTTTCTTATCATTATTAAATTGCTTCTAACCATAGTAGTAATATTGGTCTATCAGCCTCCTTTGTACCAACATCAAACTTTTTGAGGTTATCATCAACAAAAGGTTGTCAATCACCTCGACAGAAACAAATTCTTGAGTGACAAACAGTATGGATTTCACTCCTCTATGTCCACTGCTGATGTCCTCACAGTTGTTATACCTAGAATCAGTGAAATGTTTGCTTCATCATGAGAGTGATAATAGATATTTTAAAAGCTTTTAACAAGGTGTGGCTACACAAACTCACCAGCTATGATATCACTGGAAGAGTCTTCTCAGTTATCAAGTCCTTCCTCTCAGGTAGGTCCATGAAGGTTGTTAATGGCCAGTTCTCTGAAGCCCATGAGATCAATGTTGTCATTCCCCAAAGTCCTCTCATCTATTCTATTCTTTTTCTGCTTTATCTTGTAGGTGGTAGATTGCATACAAAGAAATGTTCTTAGATCATTAGTAAATGTATATGCATATGATAATGCGGTTTATGGGCACACCTCCAAAAATGTAGTTGATCAGAACCTATCCTCTAAACTAGCTTGTACAACTCAATGGGTGAGGGACTGGCTTGAAACATTCAATATACCTCCAAAACCAAGCTAGCAATGTTTCGTCATCACCGAACAGATTTTGAGTTTTCTCCAATCCAGGTTGTACTCAATGAGATTACTTGTCTGTTATGTCTATTGGGGCTCATCCCAGACCTCAGGTGCAACTTGTATATACAGCCCATCATTAAATATGGTGGAAAAATGGTCAGTTCTTTGTGATGCTGCAGAGAGTACCTATCTCCTGCCATGCTCTATCTTTACAAGAGCCTGATCAAGCCTAAAATGTTGTTTTGGTGCCATATCTGGGCTGGAGCTGCCCAATCTTTACTTTACAGACTTGACAGGGTTCAAAAGCATTCATGCAGCCTTCTGGGTGATTAATTATTTCCAACCTTACAAGCCTTTTACACAGATGAAACATTGGTAGCCTCTTAACTGTTGTTATTTCCATGGCAGATGTTCAGGTGAGCTACATTCTTTAGTTCCACCAGTCCAGACCTTTACAGCCAGGATCTGCCATGCCATCTACACATCCGTGTTCACTTTGTATTCCATTGGTAAGGGAGAAGTTTCACTCAAACAGCTTCTTCCCCAGAATTGTTACATGGAAAAAAAGCTCCTTGAAAATGCTTCCCTGATAATTATAATCATAACCACTCCAGATCTAGAATCAACCATTATCCATCCCTCATATCCTCAATATGTACTTATTACTCTCTTATTGTACACTCTTGCCTCATTCTTTAACATTCTCCATTGGGTGGCTCCTGTGTCTTGTATTGGGTTAGCAATAGTATTAAAATATAGCTTTGTAGCTCTTGGTAATTTTTTTTTTTTTTTTTTTTTTTTTTTACAAATACCCATTGGTTGAGATGTATTACTCAAAACACACACAAAAATTATCTGCAAGCAAAAAGTTCTTTAGATTTGCTAGCACCTTCTTGGCTACTTTTCAACTGAACTTGCAAAAAGAATAGTAAGGTTTTTATTAAACTACTCAATGCTCATTATCAGTGCTTATAATATAGATTAAAAATAAAAGCAAATTTTTCCTTGTGTCATTCTGCTTCATGCAGTATTTTTCTGTGTATTTTTATTCAAGATAGAAATAATTTGTATTGCCAGAAGAAATTGCTGTCTTTCACTTCCTTCAAAAGATTTCAATTGAAATTACTTGTCCTCAAATTGTGTTTGATGCTACCAAGAGAGTAAGAATATATCAACATTTCAAAACTTTGTCATAGCTTTGATTAAAAACTAAGTTATTTCCCTTATATGTTTTAATATATTTGCAAAGTGAAAAATCAATATTCTTATGACTGGTTTATTATGTATACAATTACTCTTTGGGTATTGTGAGCTTGTGAAATGTTAATTTTTGCTTCTCCCTTTCAAAATTAATTGTTAAAACTTATTTTTAACTTTATTCTCCTGTATTGGTCAGAATACTATATTTCTGTAATTGATGGAATGCTAATTTGGCAGTATTTCAATTGTTCATTTTAGTTATTACAACAGGCAGCAGCTGGCGGTGGAGGTGGTGGTGGAGGTGGCAACTTGGGAGCATTTGGAAATTTGGGTAACATTGGTAAGTCTTTCACTCACTCTAAATTCTTCACCTCATCTCTTTACTTTAACGATGCTTAAAAATTCACAATATTTTTTCACCCTTCTAATAATTTGACAAAACAAAGCAAAAACTAAAATTGTTGCAAGGTGCAGTCGAATAATGGATAGAGGCTTGGCTTGAGAAATCGAAGAGCCAAGTTCGAATTCCAGTCGAATCCTTTACATTCAATTATGTGCTAATACCCTTGGGGAAAAGTATGAATCCTTTTCTCCCCCAGCTATGGGTAAATAGCAGGACAGACTGGATTCTGTAGCCTTGTATGGCAACTGGTCTACCGAAGAAAGAAATGGTAACCTACAACAGTAAAAAATCTGCCTTGTCAGTCATGTATTGAAAGATACGTGATTGCCTAAGCGTGTATCACACATGGCACATAACTGACTGACTAGGAAATCATCTCCTCACCTCAAGCATAAAAATAATTCAGGAGGAGTAGATAGGTTGGCTTATCATCAGGTTCACACTCCTCCCTGGTCTTTTGAACAGGAGTACAAGTTTATCCCTTGTTTCCTGTTTAGGATTGGGTTTCTGGATACTTTTAAAGTCTCTTTCATTCTCCATCTTTTCCAGTAACCCCTGGCATCTTAGTGGAATTGTTGCCTTGCTTGGGCTGAGTAGATAAAAAAAAAAAAAACATTGTAGCTGATGTGTATAAATTGTTAAATTAAAATCAATCTGTTACTGATTTCCTATTTTTTTGAAGAACACAGTCGATTTTAGTGATCTTGTTCCTGTTTTTACAGCATCTAGCACTACTGTAAAGCAGAATTCAGCAAGAATGGTTGTATCCAAAGATACCCTCCTCAGTAATTTTCTTTTTATTAGTTTTTTTTATACATAATAGTATTGTTAAAGTCTATTTATGCATAAACAGTTTTTATCTGTAATTAAGCAATTCTCTTCCAAGCATTATACAAAAGATGGTTTTAAGATTATCCATAACAAAAGCTAGTTTTTATAAATGTCATTAAAATTATGAAAGTCTTTTTGTATTTATTAGCTTGTAGGCAACATTTTCAGACAAAGCTTCTTTTAAAGAGAAATCATTCTTTTAGAAAAAAAAAATTTTTTACAGTAATTTTTTGTTCTGTATTGCTCCCCATTTGTGTTACAATTGTTTATTTTTGATTCATTTTGGAGAATTTGGAAACAAGTGATTCTTGGTTATTTGTGAGCTACTCTTCTTTATTAACCTTATTAGGCACACATACACAGCAAAAAAATAAAGTGACAAACTGCTTATCTTGCTAGGTATATTACATAAGCCAACAAAAGTGCTAATGTACTGGAACATATTCGTTTAACTTGTGTAACATTTAACATGTTAGCTACTGCTTTTTATGATCATCTAAATTTATCTATTTACTTCATTCCTTCTTATTGTGTCTATGCTTGTTCTAAATTCATTGCTTTATCTTGTAGGGTTGAACACAATGGGTATCCAACAATTATTGACTGCTGCAGCAGCTGCCGCTGCAACTGGCAATAATCCAGGTAACACTAAATTTTAACAAATGTTCAGTTTTGGTTTAATGTCAAGTTTTAAATAAATGTTTGAGCATATACACACACCATTTTACTTGTTACACTGACTTCAGATTTTTTTTTTTTTCTCAAAGATTCTGTGTAGTATTTTCTAAATTTGTGATCACAATCCATTTGTATATTGTATGGCTTAATGGTATATGGCAAGCTGGAAAAAGACATGAAATATCAGTTGATATTTACAACAGATAAAGAATTCTGTCACTTGGTCACCAACTTTTCACTAAGACTAATTTTCAGTTAATCTAGAGTGTCACTGAAAAATATTTAAACTTTGAATTACATGACTAACACTGGTTATTTAAATGCTAAATGGTTATAATTGTTTTGTAAGTAATTTTGTATTTGATTCCTTTTCCTGTCATGATTTGTTATGGGAATTTGTAATCTTTCAACAAACTAAAACGTTTATGGAATATTTTTCATTAAATATCCTAATATTTTAACAATTTGAGGGCATTAAATTCTATGCTTTGATACATTCTAATATATTGGGTGATCATTTTTAATATTTTCTGATAAAGTTGTCATTGGCTGATTAAATCTACCCCTTCCCCCTTTAAATTCATGTGCATTGTATTGAGTAGGTACCTCCACTAATTCAATGTATGTAAGGTTTAAAATGAATTTTTAAAAATGAAAAAGCTTTTTTGAAGCTTTCATTTTAGATGTAATTGAAAGCTAAAGGATTTATAATTTACTATTTCCAGTAAGCAAAATACTGTGATGTATTTCCAACAGAAATTATATTGATCAGAATCAATCCCCCCACCATTAAAATTGATCAAAACGGCCATTTTTGACACATTTGTAAACAAAAGTTAATTCTTGGCTTTAAAAATCTTGCAAAAATTAAATATATATTTCTGAAAAGTTATTTGAGGAAAATTAGCAAATTTAAAGTTAAATTAATCTCATTTTAAACAAATATTACTTACTTATAGCATAAAATTTTGTATACAAACATTTCTTAACTACAGGGTCTTGTTTTTCTGATGTGTTAATCAATTTATTTACATCTGATTGACACCCAAACGTGTTCATAGTTAAGTATGGTGGAGCAGACGATAAATTTTGAGAGGTGGGGTTGGCTCAAGGGGGGACAATCCTTAAAACAAGTGACCTTTAAATGCTAGATTTATTGGTTTGTACATCCATACTTCAGAAATTCTGCACATAACACATAAAAAAAACAAATTGAAATTCTTTTAAAAATATTTGGCGTTGTCAGATTGTAATAAGCTTTACAATATATAAGTAAATATAGTTTTACTTAATAATATTTCCTAGGAATTGTTTCATGGAAAAGGTATTTTAAAAGATTTAAAAACTATAAATTAATCCATTTAAAATTATAAAATGAAAACAAATCTTGTAAAAATTCATTTTTTGTTCAGACAATATTGTCTTTAATATATATTATTCATAAAACCAATTAAAAGCTTCTCTAATTAAATAATGTCTTAGTTTTATTGCTTTTTTGTTTTTTGATTCAGGGTGGGTTTTCAGTAAGACTATGTTTTATTTTGCAAAAAAATTTGGTGATTTAAATTCTTCAAAGAATTCTTCTTTTAACTAATAAATATAGTCACTAAAGATTATCTCATTGAATTTCTCAAGTTTTCATAAAATTAAGTAAAGGGCTGAAACACATGTAAAAAAAAAAAAATATATATAATATATATATATATATATATATATATATATATAATATATATTTACCAACATTTTCTAATAAAAACAATTTCAAAAATAATTTCATTCATTTGTGAATAAGTCCTGAAAATTTCATTAAAATCAAACAATTTTCTGATTTTTGCAAGAATTTCCAAATTAATGTGTCTTTCACTGCAAAAAAAAAAAAAAAGGCCAAAATTTGGTATACTAAAAATACAACTGCCGACACAAGAAAAACAAGTTTTTTTCATCAAAATTTCGAATGTTCTAAAAGGGAGTAAAAAATTCAATTAAATAATCAAAAAGTACTTTCATCCTTCATCTTAATAATAATATAATGATTTTCGACAATAAAATTTTTAATTACGGTATGCTGATTTTTTTTTTTTTAGCGTTTTCGTGGAGGTATCTAGTTTTGAATGTTGGCTTCATGCACAACCCCTTTGCCTTTGATATTTTGATAAGTACTTTTTTTTTTTTTCTTAGAAAAAAGTGACAAAAATTTACCTTTTTTTTTTGAAGAGTTGGCGCATTCACATTATTCTATCACTCTTTATTGAAATAAAGTTGTCAATTCTTGTATCATTTGAAAGCAAACATATTCACTCTTTTCAATCATTGTTCATTGTTTCTCTAATTCTTTGCAGGGCTTCCTCAAACTGCTAAGTTATGGGTACTGCTTACATGATATACAAAGCTCACTTTTCTTTTGAAGGCATATGCATTCATGTGCATTTATTCTGATGAATGAATGAGATTGGCATCTATTTTTTGTCTTTAATGCCAACTAATGCCAAAAATGACATTGTTTAGAAAAAGTAAATTATTTTATTTGCTTCTTATTTTTTAAAATTACCAAAATAAATTTGTACTGCCACTCTGAATTTTTTTATAATTAAAGCCTCAATTTATAGCTGCATTTGAAGAAGAAAAAATTAAGAACCGCAACATTAATTTTGTCTACATTTGTTTCTTTAAAGATAGGCAGAAATTTCTGTGAAAATCTACAGGAATCTTTCTTTTTTTTTTTTTTTTTTTTTTTCTATGTAAGATACATTGATTTTAATCTTAGAATTTCTTTCCCAGCCACTACATTCTGTTGTTCATTTCTAATGAAAGAATGTGAATACATGATAGTGGGAATGAAGCCAGTTGAAAATATGATTCTGTTTAATGTTTGTCACTGAATTAATCTCTCATTTTTAGATGGGTCAGCCAATAAAGTATCATTTAGTTTCTTTGGTTAGAGTATAGATCTTAAAATTTAATCTAGCTTCTTAATAGCAAAGTTTTGTAAGCTTTGTGGATCTATTTAACATATTCAATGATTATTTGCAAAAGCAACTAATTTCTTATAATTTTATTTTGGTTAATTTAACTATCTACACTATGCCATTTCTATGAAACATTCTATGAATGTATTTTGTTATTTCTTTTAATCACGGTGGCTTGCATTGAGGAATTGGAGAACCCAGTTTGAATTCCAGTCAAATCCATTACATTCACTTACGTGCTAATACCCTAGGGAAATATATTAATTCTTGCCTTCTCCACCCCCAGCTATGGGTAAATAGCAGGACAGACCAGGTTCTATAGCCTTGTATGGCAACTGGTCTACCATAGAAAGAAATGGCAACCAACTGTGGGGAAAAATCTGCCTGGTCAGTCATGTATTGAAAGATGTATGATTGCCTAAGCATGTATCACACATAGCACATAACTGACTGAATATTAATAGCTTTTATTTAACAGTTGTATTCTCTGTTTTTACCTACCATTCTGGAAAAAAAAGTCTGGCATTATTTTTGTTAATTGATAAGGCATAGTAAGGAGTAATCTTTTAATGTCATTGTTTTTCATATTCAAGAAGGGAAACTTTTGATTCATTTGTTACTGAAAATATTTGCTTGGCTTCCCTTTTGCTGAAACATTTCTGTATGATCATTTGTTTCATTTGCATTATTCAATTCATTCATTTGTAAACACTTGTAAGCTGTTTGTTGTTGAAACAAAGCTGCTTCATTGACTTACTGTTGAAGAATAACTGATTAGAAGACCTTCTCAATTTATAATATAAAAATCAAACTTCCATTGGCATGACCAACAATAATTGTTTTCTCATTCCAAAATGAGTTCATTAAAAAAAAAAAAAGTTATGAAAATTCTCAGAAAGGTGTTCTATTTTTTCTTTTTATTGTCTGTATTCATCCTGTTAGTATACTAGAAATATTTAATTTCTAAAATTGTCAGTCATTTTTTATAATTTATTTTGTGTTTGAAATTTCCAAAAAATTACCATAGAAATACGAAAAAAAAATTGAGCCCCATTAAAAAAAAAAAAAGGCTGTAGAAAATCTAAATTCTAGTCTCATTGTTTTTTGTTGGCAATCTGAACCATTGATGATGGTTTTAGAAATGTCTCCACTGACTTTCATGGTTCATGTGAAACCGTTTTTATTCTCAGATAGTGACAGATAATATTCAAGTTGACTTCCTCTATTGGGATAGCATGCCAGAAAAATATATTTGACTGAACTGTTTACTTGTGAATTATTTCTGAAAGGAATTTTACATCTAACAAATCATGAACTATTAATTTAGTTCCAAGAATTTGCTTTTCCTATTTATCAGTTTTGGTTGTATTTCTGTGGATACCAACTTGATTTTTTTCTTACCTGAATTTTGTTTTTCTACAATTTCAAACTGCACTCTTAAAACTAACATGTTGCAAATAACATTGGAACCTGTTAGTTAAAACTAACATGTTGCAAATAATCAACTAACATTTCATTTATTTCTCTTTACTGCCATAGCCAGTTGAAATTTTATATAGCTTTTGATCTTTTCATCTTAAAATATTTGCATCCAGAAGATACACATGATGAGAACAACAAATGTACTTTTTGTTTGGCAAATGATACACAGTGTGAATATTTTAATTTCTTTTTTCTTTGGACTTTTTACTAAGACATATTATGAAGCAATTTTTGTTTTTAATGAAACATTTTTGTGTCATGCACGTATTTTACCATGTTACCACTGAATGTTTTGTTTTCCTTGTTCATCTTGCTTTTCTCCTAAGTTGAATCGATTAAATGGAGTTGCAAAAACCATGAATTTTGTATGAATTGTGTTATTTGTGTCTAGAGAAGCACCCAACTGCTAGCTGTCTAGAAGAGAAAGGCTGAACATGAATGTAGTGATGTTGTTCCTACTTATTAGAAACACAAGCTGCTACTGCTTCTACTACTATTACTACTACAATTATAGTATTTTTTATAAGCACCACTAGTCACTGTCTTGAAAAATGCTTACCACCTTCCTAGTTCATCTTATACATATTGTGGCACTATTGATTGTGTATACTGATCTAATTATGTGTTGTCATGCTGAAAAGAATAAGTAAATTGAAAATTGGTAGGAGGGCAAGCAAATAAGTTAGGATTTTGGAGTGAGGGGGTGGGGGTGTTGGAATGTCTATATTTTCCACATTTTATCTAGGATGTCATTTTGTTTGTATGTATATCTATTTGATTGTGTAAATTTAGGATCACAAACTAATTGGTTTTTATTATCCTTGCATTATAGCAGCCTCAAGTAGTTAGTTTTTGTGGACTCTTCACTAAATACTCAGTGTTTTTATTTTTGTTTTTTCTCCATTTTGGTAAACCCTTTCTGACATGCTCGCTACTTGTCAGTTTTTTTTTTTGTTTTTGTTTTTTTTGCTTCAAAAAACAAAAATTACTCTATAAATTGATTCATTCAAAATTAAAGTATGCGAGCTAAAGACAAATGTCTCTATTCACTTTTTAAAGTTAGCACAACATAGTAATCTTGTCTCATCTGGATAGTTCTGATGTTAAACACTATTATTTCTTATTTCAAAATGCTATTGATTGAACTTTACAAAAAAAATACTTTATTGTTGATATCTACAATGTTACAAAATGATAAATTTCAAGTTTTAAAATTACCCACTTCCTCATTGTTATCATTAATAGTTAACACTTTTTCTTTTTTCTATCCCCTGGGGAAAAAATTAAATTTTCTAAAATCTGTGAAGCTTGAAAATCTTAGATAAATTGATATTAAATTAAATGGAAATAACTTTTTGTATGGCATGAATGAATATTGATTCATTTATTTTGTCCTGTGATGTTCAAATCAACATTTATTCAATGTTTTCCTGAAATTTATTGATATGAATTTTTCAAAAGTTCCTTAAGAATGAAGCAGAATTATAGCATAATAAAAAAAAAAAAAAAAAAAAAATATAGTCAAATAACTTCTTCCTTACCCTGCACAATGTTAGTTATATATGCTCTACAACTAGCATTTCTACTGTTATAACTTTTACTAAGCCTGTATTGTTATTTGGCTGCTAAATTGCAAATTATTGACTAGTATCCTCATTTTCTTAGAATATGAGGATCATTTTTTTTTTTTTTATTTATTAATTTCACATGTTTCACAGTGTTGAATATTTTTTTTTTTTTTTACTTTCATTTTTTTTTTTTTTTTGATGTTGTCTTACACTCTGACACTATTTTTTTTTTTTTTTTTTTTTTTTTTTTTTTTTTTTGTGTCCCCTTATAACCTGCAGGCGTGTTGGCAGCCCTCGCGGGGTTAAATGCTGGCAGTCTAACCAATAACACTACTGCTACTTCTGCCTGCTCCCCTTCCTCCTCCTCTTCCACTTCGTCCACTGCACCGTCTGCTGCAGCGGCAGCCTTGGCGGCAGCAGCAGCGGCTACAATGGCATCACTGGGGGGCAGCAATAGTGGCGCGGGCGGTTCGTCGTCTACTGTGACAGGTACTTTAACCTTCATCTTAAAATCTGGTTTGCATTGACTTGATGAGCAACGGAATGCTTTGGGTTTGGTTTGGCCCTGTTCATGCTCTCTGCTCATGCTGTGCAGCTGTCTCATCACTGCAGTCACATGTTTGATGCACAAACCAGCATTTGACACTCCCATCCCCACACCCCCACCCCCACCTCTGTATCTCTCTCTTTCCTCTTCTGTATCTCTCTCTCTCTCTCTCTCTCTCTTGCTATTGTTTCTTCCCATTCTTCTTTCTAGTCAGCCACCCAACTGTCCAAAGGAACATCTTTTCCTACCTATCTACCATCTCTTCCTACTTTACTTTTTCATCTGTTCACAAATGTAGACACCTTTTAAATGTCAATTTCACTACTACCAACACTATCAAACACCTTTTATGCAAAATTTGTTATCAACACAATCACTCTCCACTATCACCTCCACTACACGTATTTACCTTCTCACCTACCTCTGAATACTCATCAATGCTTACTGCTCCAACCAACAAGGTTTGATTAGTTCATAACCAATGGAGAACAAAGCTTTGCCAGTTCATCAAAAACTGTTAGACATGATATGCCCATCTCTACATATGTGGCAGCATCAGTTTGCTTTAAATTTTTATCCCTTAAGAACTTAGGCTTTTCTAAGATCCTCTCAAGCTCAATCAGTTCCTCTATAGCACATCTCACCCAAAGTATATTGCCAAGAAAGCTAATTGATACGCTTCAAGTATCTCAACTTGGGCATCACCTCACTTGTGTTGTGTTATGGAATGCTAACGATGGTGAATATCTCTCAGCAGGCAAAGTAGTTGTGTAATTTCATTGGATTTTATAATTGTTTAGTCTGAATTGGCTTTAGCATTTTTTGTTCTTTGTTTAAATTGAGCCATTTCTAACCTGCATCTATGTACTTGCTTAATTTGTTGTTTTACTCACATATACATTCACTAACCATCATAATTGAATTGTGTGGAATTTAGGTTTCTACAGATTATTTGTTGATTGGGCCATTAAACTTTGAGACACTATAGTGTCTTTAATTATATCTCTCTTAAATTCCTTTCCACCTAATTCAAAAGTAATCTGATGAGGTTCAAGAGATATGAATAATAGTCATATGCCTTATTAGTTCCATAAAAAGGAATTTTGATTCATGAGTTTAAAAACTCATGGTTTTATTATGAGGACAAAATTAAATTGTATTTGAAATGTGAAATAAATGAGAATTGAAATTGTTTTGTGATTTATTTGGAAGTTATCCCCAAAGTAGCATTTCTGCCAATTAAGCATAAAACTTACAAAAAAAAGAAAATGACATTTTTTTTTAATGTCATTGAAGTTTGAATTTCTGATGACTGGAATTGCCATAAAAGTAAAGTTTCTTTTTAAAAAGAATATAAACTTTTTTTTTTTTTTTTTTTTTGTGCCAATTAATTAGGATGTTTTATCAATCAATTATAAGCAACTAGAAAAAGTAAAACCACTTTGCCTCTTTTAAACAGTGTGTGATATAATTTGTGTTCCTCAAGTAGGAACAAAAAACTAAATAAATGAAGCGGTAATATAGGGAAGATGTAACGTAAAGTCTCTAATTTTCTAGTTGTTGGTTCTTGTGAGTTAGTAGCACTTTAACTCTCAACTTTTTCTTCATGTCCTACCTCCTTTCACCCATGTTTATACTTGATGACTTCAGGAGAGCTGTACTGTATTGTGGCTAAGCATGCAATCACCCATAATTCCTGCTCCTCATTTTCTTTCTAACCACATCCATGTTGTTTTCCCCCATTTTTCTGTTTCTGCTTAACATTTATTTTATAACATAGTTTTCGTTGTATTTTGCCTGTTTTAAAAATTTTCTCTCATTTTTCTTGGTCAAATATTTTATTTGTTATATGCACATTAATGGTCTTGACTATGAACTGCTTGAATGCGTGAATACCTTGCACCCCACTTTTACCTTTTTTGTTTTTCTTATTTTGATAATACCAGCTTGAGACTTGCAGTCTTCAAATATTTCACTGCTTTTTGGATTTGTTGAACAATGACTCTTTTAGTTTTACTTTCATTATCAGTGCATTTATTCTTTTTCTTTACCAAAGAGAGGAAAAAAAATATTTTTTCTAAAATCTAAAAAAAAAAACGAAAAAAAAAATTGCTTAGCAACCATAAAATTGTTTTTTGTTTTGTTTTTTAATTTTTGTTTTAGTTTACTAAACAAGCTAAATATTCTCATTTGATTAGGACTTTTTTAAAACTGTAATACACTATAATTAAACAACTAATTAAAATGAAACCTAAAAAATAAAAAAAGTAGTATAAGTCATGGACAGCTTGCTGTTATAGTCATTTGTTTTTGTTTTCTGTTTTTGTCTTGTTTTTGTGTGTTTCCCCCTCCCCACAAAACCCCTTATTTTCTGCTCTTTCATTTTATATATTAAGCTGGCTTTTAAAGTTCAGTTCCCCAGTTTAGTACATGGCTAACTGAACAAATGTTGCTACTGCTTACCATCGTAAATTCTAACATAAGCTTTTAAGTACATTGCATTGCCAAATATATCTGCAAGTTAGCATGTTTATAACTGCTGCCAACACCACTGCAACTGGTCATATTCCTATCACTATTAGCACTATTTTGATATTCAATTCTCTTAGTGCTGCTGGTTTGGTCAATACTGGTAACAATTCTGTGCAACACTGCTGCTTCCTGTGCACCAGCAAATGTTTTTTTTTTGTTTTTTTTTCTCCCCCTACCACCAAAACCAGAATCCTCACTATCTGATACTGGATTTTATACCTAGCTATACTCTTTCTCCCAATGATATAGAAGTTGCTTACAGGTGCATTGTCTCATCATTGAATGCTAGCAGAGGAAAAACAAAAACACTTTGGCAACTTCAACATATGTAATTCCTGATTATGCATTTTGTCGAAGTGACTTCACTAATAATAAAAACAGCATTTTTCAAGTCTGTTTTTTTTTTTTTTTCTCTATCATCTTTTTATCTTTTTTTTTTGTTGTTCTTTTGTCTCTCCATTGCAAGCAATGTTAATGGATAATTTACAAACATTGTTCATCCTTGCTCAGTGGTTTGTTCTGTAGCCAATAGCTATTTCTTGGTTGATCTTCATCATATACAAATGGGGTTAGCATTAAAATAGGGTATTTTCTTTCTTCTTTTTTTTTTAAATGTGCCAATTAGGAAGTGTCACAAATTGTGGTAGTATTAATAGATACTTAATTATTTACAGCCTGTTAATAGAAATAGTGTTTTTTATATAATTTAGGCTATCTGCAAGATGACTTCAAACAGGAATTTAAATTTGGAGGAAATGCAGTTTGTAAGAATTCTGTAAAGACGACTTAAGATTTTGTTTATAGTGATAAATGACTATTTTTATTCTTCCAAAAGATTATCAATCTGGATTTGTATATCAATTTTGTTTTATAAGTGGCTAAAGTCCTTATGAAGGTTTTGAGAAATATTGTAATGATTTTTCTTCTTTCGCTAATTAAATATGAACTCTCAAAAAGCTTTTTAGATATGCTTCTCCTAGAATGGATCTTGTGCAATCTGGATCCTGTTATTAGTTTTCCAGAAAGTGAAAGATTTTATGTTGAAATATATGGGAGTATTTGGTTAATTATACTTTATTATGAAAAGTGAAAGTATGTAAGTTTCTCTTCTGTAAGAGGGTAACATTTGCTTTAATTTGGTTTGAAAAGATTGCATAAGTTCAATCACTAGATTAAAATGGAAAAGATTGTGTCTGTAAAATTGTTGACATTTTTCTAATTTTATCCCTTGCCAAATCTCTTTATAAACTTATACATAAAAGAAAAATATTTTACATAGATTGGAGCCAATCCATCATTGAAAACGTGTCAATTCTGTTCACAAATTTTCACATTATCTGATTTATGAATTTCATTAGTTCAGACCAGCCTTATCTCTTAACCTTTATCACTCTAACTTCATCACTCTAACTTCATTTGCTGTACAAAAATTTTATCCTGCCACTGAAAGTGACTCTGATCCCTGAATTCAAATTTCTTTGAATTTCATAGTTGTCATATCCTGCTATGGCAACAGAAAACACCTTTGAGTGAAATTAGCAATAAGGTTGCTGTAACTGAGCAACCTTATGAAAAAAGAATGCAGTAGAAAGAGAAGTAATATTAATAATGCAGCATGTTAAAGGTTAACATGTTTTTGCCACTCCTCCTTTGTAAATTGGACAAGGTTTATGAAATTATCTATTTCAAATACAGTCATATAAAAATATATATTTATCAGGTTGCTTTTGCTACATGTCAATCTTTAAATAATTTGTAAGCTGCAAAGTACACAATAGCTAAAGCTATCTTTCTATTTTCTGTCACAGCTGCTGTGAACTTTCCATTGTTGCTGATGTACCATCTAATGCTAAGTTTTCATATCAGTAGTGTTTAAGTTTGTAATTTTTCATAAACATTGTGTACCTTAGAATATTTCTATACTTTTAATAAATAATGAAGTATTAAAGAATGAACTTCCTGTAAGAAGTCCTTTTCATGTCTGTTTTAAATTCCTTTTATTTTGTTTGTTTTTTTTTTTTTTTTTTTTTTCCTATTTATGTATTTTTCAGTTTGTAGGGGTTTTGTATTTGGAGTAGCTATATTAAAGCAAGTGTATATCTTTTCAGTTATTTTTCATTTCCACCTCCTGTTTCCCTCGTTTTTCTTTCCCTCACCATGATCCTTTCCTATCCATCTTTATTGCTTGCTAAAATTCTTTACACTTACTGCAATGTGGATCATTGTGTGCCAACAACCCTGCTTGCAAGCTTCATACACAAATTGTTTTGATTTCTGATGTCATTTTGTATTATGAATTACCAAATCTATTAAAAACATTCACTTGGTAAGCATTCATCCATAATGTTTGAATTATTTAATTTCCTATAATTCAACAAAGAAAACATACAAAGCTGCATTTGCTTCGATGTCGGCTGAGATTTTCCTTTTTTATGCAGCCAATTATATAATTGTTCACTGAAAATATTTTGAAAAATGGTTAACACTAATACAATTAGCAGTAAGGATCTTTTAATATTTTGTTTAAATATATTTTCTTTTATCATAGATTTATAAATATATGTAGATTAATTTGATCAGAAATTGTGTGTTTTCAACTAAGCCATTTCGAAACACACATGGAAATGAATTAAAGTCAAGCTTATAGAGGTGCCTTGTCCTATCCTGAAAATTTGCTTGTGTTTAGACATATTTGCATTAAATATGTCTTGTCAGAGGCTTTAAATATTGTCAAAGAAACTCACATGCATTTGAAATAGACTAATCTTCTAGTACTATACATTGAATTTAAAAATTGTTTTATTTTATAAATACAGTTTAAATTATTCAAATATTCACTGGAGTCATGAGTTTATAATTATTTAGAATATTTCATTGCCATTCTATAAATTGTTTATTAATGCACTTCATATTTTTACTTTATCTAAGAGATTTTATATTATGACATTAATCTAATGCTTACCTATATTTACTACTAAGACAATGAGGTGCTGAAAAGTTCTTGGTTCAATTCACTTTCTCAGAATCAGTATTTCAATAGCCAAATATCAAAATACTGATTTTTGAGAAGTGGGTCAAGCAGAGAACTTTTCAGTACACACTTGTTTGTGTGTATACCAATTAATTTTAGTTACAAATATGCAAAATAATGTTTTTTTTTTTGTTTTTTTTTTTTTTGTTACATATTTAAGAAAATAAAAATCCATGTTTTTATCCAGTTATAATCTTTGCTATTTTACTATGGGTAGCTTTTGGCTCAAACTATTTATATTTTTACATGTACTAATAAAAATCCAGTAATGCATTAAGAGAATAATTATTGATATATTCCACTTTTCTAAGTACTTTTCTTCATCTTTTTTATGTATATTTTTTAGTCGTAATGAGGAAATCTTCATTGCCTGTTTTCTTTGAGAGCTCTTATTTTGTAAGTTAACGTAAATTTGTTTATAAACTTTTATTTTGTTATGCAATTTTTCATCCTTTCAGGAGAAACCAACAATTTGCAACATTTACAGAACCTTCAGAGTTTGACAGCATTGGCAAATGCTTCTGGCAACCCAGGCAAGAAATCATTTATTCTTCAATTCTCTTCCTTATTTCTTCTTTTCTTCTATTCAAGTGAGCAGACTTCCTTGAAATCAAAATGAAATACTTTTAATGTTTGGGATTGTTGCCAAAATGATTTCAATATTACAGCTTTCCTTGTAAACCTTTGAGCTCTCCTTGTCATATAGAAATGTTAGCAATTATGCACTTTCATCAGTCTGAAAAATCATGCTTTTACATAAATTGCAGAGTTTACTCCTACAAAAGTTAACTAAAGTATGTTTAGTATATGCTTTTTTGTTCTGTTTTGCTTTCTCATAACTTTCTTTTTTGTCAGTAAAATTTTCTTTTCTTGACATCCAGGAAGATTTGGTAACCTTCATAACAATTCTGGGATTAACCTTTGACTTTATATCATCAATCATTTACAGGCAATGTAGCAAGCATTCATGCTAACCGTTTTTGTTAGTTTAGAATATTCACTGTAAACACCAATTTTTTAAAAATTGCATATGAGCATATCTATATAGTTTACCATACCACTTCTGCTTTATGTATTTAGCAATATAGAGTGATGGTAAAATAATTTCCAAGTTATTTCATGGGAGATTTGGATGAATTTTGACTAAACTATGTTTATTGTAATATATTTTAAAATAGAGAGCAAAATAGATTTTACTTTTAAAGTTTCTTTATAAATCTTGAATTGCTTAAGTGAGAATTTAGAATTTTGTTTTATTTTACAAATTGAAACATGAACGTTTGCATGTTTTAAGTTTTTGCTGAAATATTTAATTTAAGCAGTACAAAATAATTTACCACTTTATAAGTATAAAATGTCAAAATAAACCGCATAAAAAAAAAAAAAAAAATGGAATTTCAATTTTGTGTGTGGTTAATCAATTTAAAAGACAAAGCCATAGAAATGTTTCTGTTTTTTAATTTTTGTTCACCCATTACAATGTCAAGGAGCCAACCACAATAGAAGTTTACAGAATTTCCCCATAAGTTTATCATTTTATTTGTATATATGCAAAACATGTAGAACTTTAATGTTTGGTATAATTATTATTATACCTTTGTTAGTAATACTTATCCTCTATCATCAGCACTCTCTTCTCCATTTAAAATTCAAATAGCATGTTGTTTGAAATTATATAACAGCTTTATTTGCCAATTTTACTGAACAATAGCATAAAACTTATTGGATATTTTACATTTTCAGGTTCTTTGAATGCTTTGGGAATGCAGAACCTTGCAGCATTAAACCAACTTGCAGGAAACACCAATGCTTCCAATGCATCAGGTAAGTTTTCACTTAGGTTGAATATTGGATGAATATCTAGTTGACTGTTGTAAGATTTGAGCTGATGGTAAGCACATTGGGATGGATGTTTATAATTGAGGGTGGTTACTGGCCATGGAGTACATGGACTAAAGCAGGGATAGTAATAAAAAAAAAAAAAAAAGACAAAGAAAAAGAATGCATGTTGAGATTTCTACAAGATCTGAATTTTTGCTCAGCTTTTAATATTGTCAGTTTGCTTTTAGGCTAGGCATGGCTCAGCTAAGCCAGACTCTTGTTGCCACAATTCACTCACTCATTCATCCATTTGTTTGTCATTCTTGTCTGTTGTATCATAAAATCCTTGTTTGCACTTAACATTAATCTTATTCCTTTGTTGTTGTTGTTAGTCTTGTGCTTAAAATTCTCCCCTTAACTGTGTAATTATGAAAGTGATCTTTAGAGAAATTTGATCAGTAGCTAATTTTTTGTCCTGATAATATGTTAGCATTTTTGGCTGATCAAAGTAAATTTTTAATTTCAGTTGAAAATTGTAGGCTTGGTAGAAAAAAATGAATTAACATTGTTAGTACTAATAAGTATGCTTATTAATTAAGTTTATCTTTTGCATTATTCACTCTCTGTCTTGAACTTACAGTATTATCAAAGTAGTGTGTTTATGTGTGCAAGGCCAGTACATTGAAATGCCATTCTCCTGCATTTTTGCTGTAACTTTGTGCAAATATAATGTATAGCAAGAACATGTATTTGTTCTATATATATTTGCACTTTTATTAAAGAATGTTAACTGTAAATTGGTCTTGATGGAAACTTTTGTTATCTCACTGATGATTGTTTTTTTTTTTTGTTTTTTTTGTTTTTTTTTTTCCTTATCTATACATGTGAAATATTTTTTGGAAGGCGTGCTGAAAATTTCTTGAATCAACTCACTTCCCAAAATCTAACCAAATGACTTATTAGAATTTATTTCGAAATGGCTTCTTGGTTGGATCAATAACATTTCAATACCCTGCCCTTCCTATCAGAGTATTAAATGTTATTTAAAAAAATAAAATAAGAAAGAATCCTTTAGTTTTACCACTATTAAAGGATTTTTTTTATTAGCCCCCATGCATTTAAAAACTATATATGTCTTTAAAATGTAATTACATTCATTCAGTTGAAAGGATGTCATTGAATGTTTAGGCTATGAATGTGTGATATCAACAATGTAGATTGACCCTGAGTCATTTCAGCCAACATTTTAATTTCATAAATTCTCATTTTAGATAACTTTTAATTAAAAACACTCAGTTGACCTATGTGTTAAATTAGGGCCATTTATATTTACTTATATATAATTTGTGTGAAGACATCTATCCTGATTATTATTGCATATGCTTTTTTCATTGTTATCACAGAGCCTGTCTTCAACTTTTGTCGTGAGTACAGTTTATTAAACTTTTACAGATTGTTGTAGTTTTATGTATTTTGCTGTTTGGTTAGATATTTTTTTTTCTTATTGTAACATATCTTTGTTCTTCCCATTGTTGTTGGCACAGCAATTAAAAATAACTAAAAATAAAACTAAGTTTTGTTTCACAATAAATTAGCAACTCCTTGGTGTGCATCATTTACTGAAAACTCTAGCACCCTTTCCAATCATTTCCATTTCATTTTTTTTTTAAAGAATTGCTCACTTTAATAAATGAACCTGTTACATTTATCTGAATTATTTCCTAATCTTATGAGAATGTTTTGCTAACAAATTAAAATCACTCTAAAACACTAGTGGGTAAAATCTTTTTATACAAGTTAGTGTATTATAATATTTACTAGAATTTGCTTCTTTTGTATTCTCATCTCTCTTTCTTTTTTTTCTTTTTCTTTTTCTTTTTTTTTCTTTTTCTTTTTCTTTTTTTTTCTTTTTCTTTTTTTTTTTTTTTTTTTTTTTTTTTTTTTTTTTTTTTTTTTTTTTCTTTTTCTTTTTCTTTTTTGTTTAGATGTTTCTACTGCATTTGTGTTGTCATTTGTCAATTTGGGAGGAGTGTTTTTTTTTTTTTTTTTATAGCTTCATCTTTCAATGTTGTCAATGATTTTTTTTATGTTCCTCCCTTGCCTTTTTGTGTTCTCATTGTGGTTATTGTACTGTAAATATCATCTTTTCAACATAGGAAAAAACTAAGTGCAGCAAGATTTCCTATGGAAAGCATTATAGTTATGTGCAAAATTGATTTTATAAAATTTGCCATTTCATTAAAAATTTGACATATGGGAGAAAGCCTTAATAAATTTTGTACATGTGCAATTTTTTTTTTTTTTTTTTTTTTCAATTTGGAAAAGGAATATTTTACTTATTTTCTAATTTGGTGTGTGTATTAATATTTCCATGAAAACTTGTTTTAAAAAGTATTAACAAATATAGACTTGTTTTAATATGTTTTCTATTGACAAATTTGATATTTGTTGACGGATTTTTTAAAATTTAGTTAATAATTTATTTTCTTAATATGAAATATTTTTTACATTGCTTTTATCATTTAAACATATTCCTTTGAAACATTATTTGCAAGTTCAAATTTCACTTAAGCTCCCTAAATCCAATTCATTGTTTAATTTCTTGGGATTCTATAAAACAAATTTTCAACACTAGCAACATTATCTTGTATTTCTTATTAGATGCAGCATTCCCAATTATTATTTATGAACTAATATTTCTTCCATTTTAATTTTACTACCTTTATTGTGATAAAGGTAAAGTGAAATTAAAATGAGTTGAAAAATAATATTTAGATTCGTTTTATCAGAGGATGAAACAGGCTTAAACTAATACTCAATTTGATTATGTTGCTGAAATGTGAGAATAGATTTGTTTTTGTACTTTGCAAAATCTAAATCCTTTAAAGACAAGAGGTAATATTTTGGGTTCTTGTGTCTGTCTTTAGATCAACTGGAATTAAAAGCAATTTACACTGCACTTGATTTTTTTTTTTGTTTTCTTTTTAAACTATGTGGTTGAAAGAAATAAAACATTTAGTAGACAATTTTTCAAAAAGTAATATAGTTAAGTAAGTAGGTGGATTAACTCATAAAAATTCTGCAATTCTTGGTTTCCTGGCTGCTAATTTCTGCCACCAACAAAAGTTTATCTGACTAAAATAATGTTCAAATGCAAAAGGTCTTTATCATTTTATCTATAATCAGGTTTACGTATATAAGTTTTCACTTTTCACCTGCAATAAACTACTTATTCATGAGCGGTTTATTTATTTCCTTTCTTTAACCTGATGCTATAATTATCGTAATACAGTCTTGTATCTTCATGCAGGCCGATTCCTTTTAAACAAATTTAGTAAGTACACTTTAAAGCAGATCTTTTTTTTTATTTTTAACATGTTCTGACAAATTTTATTTCTCATCACATTCTTACAATTATAATACTGCCAGAAAGCTTTTTTCTTTTTGTATTTTTTTTTTTTTGTTTGATAATATTTTAAAATTGTTTTCACATAAAACTACATTAGAGTTAAATAAATTTAATAAACAGGTTATCAACTTTTCCTAGTTCAATTAAATGATATCTTGGGGATATATTATTCCTCATGGCCTTACAGTATCATTTGAAGGTTGATTTTTTATTTTATTTTATTTTGTCATCCATTCTGTTGCTGTAGTTTTAGATTTCCCTCCACCTGCTGTACACTGTTGTTGCATAAAGGACATTAATTTCTAAATGTTATTCATTATTCTTGGCTTTTCTACAGACCATTTTTTTCTCTCTTTAACTGTAAAAAAAATTTTAAGCAGTATTGTAGCTTAATAAATTACTTATGCCCCAAATTATAAAATTATTCTTTATTTTGGGTTTTACATAAGCAAAGTATATGAAATTTCTTGTCAAGTTTATTTGATAATGATTATTAACCATATATATATATATATATATATATATATATATATATATATATTATTATTTTTTCAGTAAGTATTTAAGAGCATATTTTCTTTACTTTGTTAACTATTGTTTTCTCTTATCCTGTAATAGTATACTTTTATTCCCTCTTTCTCTCTATCTCTCCCTCACTAAAAGAAAAATGAAATTCTTAGTGATCACTTCATGTCCCCTTAATTTTCTTTGTAAACTTATTGCACATTATTATATCAGATATCACTTTCTTAACTAACTTTTATTTATCCAACTCATATCATTCTACTAAAATAGATTGCTTATCAAGTTCAAGTGCCAAAGTCATAAATTGACAGGTGCTGTTACCAAATGATTTCTCTTTATTCAGACTTTCTTTCTTCTTTGTTGCTAAGGATTTAAAGAATTTCCTCTAGTTTGCAGGAGAATACTAGATTCATGTTTACATTGGTTGCATATTTCTTTTTCTCTATTTCTGTGTATTGATTTTATCTCTAAAAGTGATTACCTTTTCTATGTACCTAAGTTTTCCAAGTTTATTCTTGTTACTTAAAAGATTGCAGTCAACGTTTTGAAATTTTCTTTAATGCTAAAAATTTTTTTTTTTTAGTCTTAGCTCTAAGGAAAATGTTTTTATTTTCTCTCTTTAAAACTACCAATTTAAGATTTTAATTGATTTTAAAAATTAGCATTATCCTATAATTTTTCTCTTGGTTCTCTCTTCAAAAAAAGTATCTGTGCTGGAAAATGCTTCGATTTCAGAAATAATTTTTTAAAGCTATCCTTTTTTTTTTATTTTTTTTTTTATTGAGCATCCTGAAAAAAGGGACATTGCATTTTTCTGATCTAAATGCTATTATAGAATATCTGTTTCTTTGATTCACCAATTTGCTTTATGTAGCAATTATTTACTAAACCTGTTTTAATAGAAATTAATTTTTTGCCAATTAAGTCTTTAAAATGTTGTAATTTAGTCTAAACAGATTTGTTATTGTCACATGTTTCCTACGATAATACGCCATTTTAATTATTTTTATGGCTCTCAGAAGAAAAAGCAATTTTGTAACATCAGTCATTTTAATTCCTGTTAGTTTTTTGGGCTTTTTAATCCACCCACTTAAAATTAGTTTTTTTTTTTTTTTTTTTTTTTTTTTTTTTAATGTTATTACATTTCCACTTCAGGAAACTGAACTGAAATTTTAATTTCCAATTAAAAAAAATCTTTATGCTACTTTTATTCCCTTTTTTGAATATTTTGTAAGAAATCTTACCCCCCCATCCCCCCCACACACCTTGTCAAAAAAAACAAACAAAATAAAAAAACACCTTTTTAGTGCCTTTTTAGATTTTATAAAGAATCTCTAAATATATAGAAGCATCAGATCAGATGTGGCAGCAATATTCAATGCATGGATTTAATGGTAGACTTATAAAAGGTGTAAGATAGATTACTGAAAGTATAAGTTATCAAGAAGACAGTGTGTAGTGCTGTCTTTCATTATCTGTCTATATTTTGGAGATGAGGTATTATGTACACTATTTACATTATTCAGACTATTGTCCTCATCTTTGTTGCCATATTTATCACAACATTTCGGTTGTTGTACACTCCGGCCTTCTTCAAGTGGTTGGAGTGTCGAAATAAAGGATTCAGTTTGACATTCCAGCCACCTGAAGAAGGCCAGCATGTACAATGGCTGAAGCGTTGTGATAAATATGACAACGAAGACGAGGACAATAGTCTGAACGATGTAAATAGTGTGCTGTCTTTCATGTTTGATCTGTAATTGTCAGTGGCTAATAAGAAATGTAATTTTCAATCTGTTATGTTGTCTATTATTATTCTTTAATATCCTTTCCAATTCCTAGATATTTTAGCCATGTGATGAACGTCATATCTCATCTCTTATGCACAGCTTAGAGGAGACAGCCTGTAATATATGTCCTCTATTATTATTATTATTATTTATTTTGGTTGCAATGGGAGGGTGTGAAACAAATAGAAGAAAAGTAAAAGGTTGCTGAGCCACTGAAGAGCTGGCTCGTTTGATTTGAACAAAATGTCATTTTACTTACTCTTTATCTGTATTAGTGTTGCATTTCATTGTCTTGTTGAAGTACACCTTCAAAGGATTTTGATAGCCTCTTATCAATTGTTCCTGTAATATTAGCTAACTTCTCATCTAAAACATGCTGCTGCCAACTATTGACAGAAACTTTGCAAATATTCTGACTTGTTAAATTTCCTGCAAATTGCATTTTCAGCTAAAATCAGTAAGTATGTTAGTGCACATGGCATGCTGCGTTTTGTTATCAAATAGGTTTTCTAAAATGAATTTGATATTTCTCTACTTCGACCTTATCTGTGATTATTATTTCTTTGTGTTGTTCTCCACTTCCATTCATTGAAAGTTTCTCTTTCTTCATAGCAATCACTGTGCCTTCTGCAAATAGAATTATTAGACTTGGCTCTGTTTCATCTTGCTTTTGCACCCCCTATTATACTGAGTGCGTGTGTGTATACATGCGTGCTGAGTGTGTTGTGGTTGTTGTTAATTTTTGTTATTACAATAATTTGAAAAATTCTGATCAATAACTGCAACAGCAGTTACCCAGTATCTGGGCCCCCATTTTACACCTTCATTTCAGCTATGATGAAAATTACATTTGCTAACACATCTGCTTGCTGCTTCTTTTTTTTTTTTTTCTTTTTTTTCTTCTCTTTCCCTTCTCTTTCCCTCAGCTCTAATTTCCTCCTCACATGCTCTCTCTCTCTCTCTCTCTCTTTCACTCAGATTGGCTGATTAAAAACAAGCACCAAACTGAAATACGAGTATTTAGAAGCTAAACAAAATAGCTGCTTTTAGTTATTTGCCTCTCTGTAGCCCTGCATTTGTTAACTTTGTGTTAATCTCTTTTAGATGTCAGCAGAAAGATTTTTTTTTGTCAATTTGTTTATGAAATTTGATAATCTAAGGTAAATTTTCTTATTTTTTGCATTGGGATTTTTGTCCTCATCTAATAAGACAACAACAACAACAGAGATGAGGACAATAGTCCAAATGTAAAGAGAATGATAACGCCTCATCCTAGAAATCTCAGACAGAAATTAAACTTTGTTAATACTACAGAATGCTATAAGGAATTATAAGGAGTTTATTTCACTTTCAGAATGGTCATCTAACTTCTTTCTTTTTGCAGATATGTTTTAGAACATGTATTTTTGTTTCTGTCCTTCCTTGATAATTACATTTTTAAGAAATGGCTTGAAAATTCCATGTTAAGCCAGCCACTCTATTCTTCAATACAAATTTGCTAATATAAATTGGTACCTTCCGGATAGGATTCAAAATTTTCTATATCACTTTACATGGAATTATGAACCTTCAATTTGACTGCCCACTTAATTGTGTGGGGTAGGCAACAAACAGCCATGAAAACCTAGTCTGTCTAAATGTTTTGTCTTTACGTACATAACAAAATCTTTTTATTATTTCACTAACTGATAATTTGATTTTGCCTTCAGAATAATTTTATTAAAAATCAAACATTTTGTAAAATATTTTTTCAAATATTATGAGGAAATTGTCACCTACCATTGTAAGCGTTTAAAGGAATAAGATTTTAACCATCTTTTATTAAATATTAATGTGTTCTGCCTTTAAGTGTGTTTTTTTTTTTTTCAACTGTTCATTAAGTATTGTCCTCATACCTATTTTAACATATTTGAAAATGTCTATGATGAGGAAGATAAACTAGAAGAAGTTAACATAAATGCATAATTAAATTTCTATTAAACATTTTAAGCATCTCTTGCTTTGTGTTTATATAGATAATTATTACTAACCTGCTATTAATACATTGCTGATCTTAAAGTTTCAACTTTATTGTTGCTCATTTTGCCTTTTATAACTATCCCCCCCCCACCAGCCTGACGATACTCATTCCTTAAATTAAACCTTATATTATGGTGATTGTTTCTTTAAACTACCAAATGAGCAACTCTTATTTGCAATATTTTTTTTCTTTGTATTTGATATACTTTTTTTTTTTTTTTTTTTTTTTTTTTTTTTTTTTTTGTAAATATAAAATTGTCTATTTTGGTTGACCAGTATTGACAAGTCTGTGCTCTAATCTCCTGATAACATTTTTAATGAAACTAGAACACAAATTCAGATGATAATCTATAATCATCATTGCCTATAATGTTATCTCAATGAATAAAGGCACTTAATTTTACCTTTACTCAATAACCAAATGGTATTCAATCACACACATGTATACACACACACAAATGTGTGTTTATATTTAATTCAAAGGTAAGGAACTTTTTATGAAACTTTACTACATTTTGTACATTGTTACATTGTGGTTCTATGCAACCTTAATAAATTATAACAAAGAATAAATAAATAAAAAAAAAAAAACTTAATTCCTAAAGTTTTCTTTTTTCTTTTAAGAAAGCACTCTACTGTTTATGTTGTTAGCTTTTCTTACAGTATTTGTTATGTGCCCTTGTTATCTTTACCCTTCCTTCCTCCTCTATTTTTATTTGCTTAAAACATATGTCCATAGTTACATCTAAAACATTTGTTAATCTTCACTAACCATATTTAATGTGTATTGGGCTACCAAGGAACAAACTTGGAAGAATTACTCAGTTCTTACAAAATGGCAAATAGATTTGATAGCAGTATTACACAAACCTTTTATTTTTAGCTTTAAATAATTTAATCAAACATTTCACTTGTGCTCATATTTTTTGTTCATCTTTTCTGTTTGCTTTGCAGGTACTATGACTGGTACAACTTCCTCAAACTCACTAAGTGGCCTCGCTGGAATGCAAGCTCTAGGGAACAATTCCTTAACAAACCTCTCTAGCTTGACCTCAAGTGTAACAACCAACATGAATGGCATTGGCTCCAATACTAACCCTACAGGTATTGATGCCCTTAGCCAAGCATATTCGGGGATACAGCAATATGCAGGTTTGTCAGGTTTGCTCCCTCCAGGTAAAGGTTTGTTTCATGTTTTATTATAGTTTTTCCAGGTGTGACTCTGTTTGCGTGTAGTTAATGTGGGGCTTTGGCGTGGTCGTCAAATCTTCATTTCCCTTTCAGTTTCTCCTCTTGCTCCCACCTGCTTTATTCTTCACCTGTTATTGGTTATTTCCCTTAGTTATGCCTGCTTCCTTTCTCTCTCTCTCTCTCTCTCTCACTTGTTAAATCTCTCCCTCCCTCCCTTTCTTCTTTGATTCCCTCCCTCCCTCATCTTGGCATTGCCCCTTTTATGCCTTGTGATGCTGTGTGCCGACAACACTGCAGATTGTTAATGTAACCCTGCATAATTTCTGTGCGTACAAGTCCATTTTAATCATTGTTTTGATGCAATGAAAATTGTAGCGTATCTCTGGTGAAGCATTAAATACACTTTAAGGATTTAATGTGCAATGTAATATTCTCATTTTATATTCACATATTGAGTTTTTCTCGCTTTATAATTGGGGAGTGAGAGTTCCAATGTAAATTGTGAATATTGCTACGTCCCTGCACCACCTTCCAACCCACTTCAACTTGAAATAAAGTGTAAACACAATTGACTTTGTTCTCTTTGTTCCCATCCCAATCTAAAAACAAAAGTTACAGCCCTACTTTGAATAGTCATGGAAGCTCATGATGAATCAAATGTGCACAATTTTGCAGTTTCTATCCTGGAATAACTTTTGGAACATGAGATTAATGTTCACCTCTTTCCATTCCAAACATATACAGGTTTCCAGATTCCAATGGACTTTGATTTTTATTTTTTCCTATTCACTTTCTCAGCCATTATATAAAATTGACCAAACACAGGTGTCTAGGCATAGTCTGACGGCAATGTTTTGTTTAAAACCAGTATTGTTATGTATGTGTATCTTATCTTGAATTTCATTCTGCAGTGCATTGTCTCTGATGGCTTGATGCTATTCTCATATATTGAAGAGTGAAATCAGATCCTTACTGTTTAGCAGACTACAAACTACTCATGCAATCCAAAAAACTGCCTCTTTATTCACCTTTTGCTTACTCTTTACACAGCCATTTCCCTCTCCTCACCCTCCTCCTCCTCTCACACCCGTCTTTACTTCCCTTCTTGCTCATGCAAAATGTTTATCTGGTAGCTTGCCACACGTGTTGTTGAAATGGCCGTACATTGCAGTAAGCTTGCTAAGAATTTTACTATTGTATATACCATTCTAAAGTGGACAAGAAAAACATTTTAAAATTGAATTACAGTTTATTGATTTGAAAGTGATTTTCAAAATTTCATCAGGAAAAAATATCTGCCAGTAGTGTTACACAAGTTCCACTTTTTAAATTTATTTTCAATTTCTCAATGTTGCGACTTAGATTTTCTGTTGTATATTTCAAGATTTGGTTGAAAAGAAATTGGTGTAAATTTGTTAGGTTTAAGAAGCAACTTAATACAGATGAGATGTGTGAGCAATTTGTATTACTTAGCATTAATTATGGATTATTTATTTGTAACGTTTCTACAATACTAATTGCTGTTTTCGGATTAGTATCTCACATTATTAACCACTTTTGATTTTTTTCATCCTTTCTTGAAAACTGATAAAGGCATTCATAGAACAGTTGGCAGTATTAATATGCAGGATATTTCAGAGAATGTGTATGAATTATGGTAGATGACAGTCTTATGATGTGACAACAGTTTTATGAACTCTATGAGCCAGGTCAGTGAAATTAAAAGAAAATTATCTTGTGATATATATATATATATATATATATATATATATATATATATATATATAGATGAATGTTTTTAAAAAAATTAACAAAAATGTCATTGTAATGACAACAAAGTTATAAAGAAGACATTGATTTGACATTTATGCTAGTTTTAGTTTTTCAGCCGTTGATTTGGTCAGCTGTTACATTTCTTACAAATTGGACTACACATTATCCAGAATAGCGTTTCAAAGTTTATCATGGTAAAATTGTTATTGATTAATATAGACCTTTTTTTTTTTAGAAAGCTGCACAAGTTTTCAATCAGATCAAGATCAGACATATTTTAATCTGCATATTTATTTAAATTAATAAATAGACTTTTTACTATACAATTTATTGTCATTGCAAAAGAGAATATTTAATCTATCCCAATTGATATAAACATTGCTGTTCTCACCATCATAAAACCTTTGTCATAAGAAGGAACATATTTTCATTTTAATGTCCTTATTCTGTATCTTTTGATTTGAAGTGCATTTTGTTTTCAAACAATCTATTATTGGATTCACTATTAATGTGGGCTTATTAGGATGTAATGGGCTAGAAAAGTTTCCATTTAAGGTTCATAAAGATACCATTTAAGATGCTTCAGAATGGTATCAGCATGTATCAGTCTTTTTATAGTTTAAAAGTTTTTCAATATTTGCAATTCTCCTTTTGAATTATTTTTAGTTATTTTGACAAAATTCCTATAAAGTTCTCACATTTTTGTAAGTGAGGTATTTTAATTATTTAAAAATGTATTTTTACAATGTACTGCAGTTGGATATTTGTAATATATTTGCATTCTCCCGAGAAACAATACAATTTTAACTTACTGCAATGTTACCATAAAGTTATGTTGGTATATGCTTTGTGTCTCTATTGATTTCATATATGGCTTCCTTCTGTGCTGTTCAACTAAACCTCTTACTGCAATTGATGTTTTCTGCACACTTTTCAGTATTTCTCTTCACAGCTTTGCTCCTCATTTTGAATGTTAATAAATATGCTCCTTTACAATATTAGTAAAGGCATCTTGACATGCAAACATATGCTGTCTGGATTCTTCCAGTTTTCATCATTTTTACTTCTTCATAGAAATTAGTTTTAAAAAAATGTTAATTTTTTATAAAATTCAAATAGAAACATTTCAAATGATTCCTCTTTTTTACAGTTTGGTCTGTTCAAACTCAGAGGTTTTGATTAAATTGCTGCCTCTATAGAAGTAGAACTTTCTCCCAATTTGGTTCTTATGTTCTTAAAAAAAATACATTATAATCCTGTTTTGTTAATTTAAACAAGAAAATAACATTCAATAATCCAATAAAAAAAATAATCACTTCAGACATTTTAAAATAATTATTGAAGGCTAAATATAGTTTTGTCTTTATTCTCTCAAGTTAATAGTAACAAGTAAATTATTTAGTCAACTTACTGTGAGCTTTAAAATGAAAACACATTCTTATGATTATTTTGTAGCCTTTATTGTTCTTTTGAAAGACTTAAAAATGTAATATGTAGCAGAACATTTCTAGGGTATTTTATTCCGACAGGATGGGATAAGTATGCTTATCATTGCAGATATGACTTCATATGCATACTTTGAGACACTTGCTAGAAACACCTAAGTCGACTCATCCATTGATTAAATGAGATGTCATTGACATTTACATTCTTAGAAACTTTTCTGAAAATGTCTTTAGAATTCATGGATGACATTAATTTCCTAAATATTAAGTAATTAGGTGGATGATTTTGGAAGTTAGATTTACATACATTTGGTTCATTTAATTAAATAAGTGACCACCATTTGTAAGGAAAATTTAAGATTTCTTTTTCAGTATACTCTATTTATTTTCCTCACTCTAAGAGTCACTCATCTTAGTTCAGATCATTTTTATGATGGTAATTGTAATAATTTATCAATTTTTATGAAGAAGAGTTATTATATACTTTTAAATTCATCTTGGTTGTTAATCACATAAGGTTACTAAGTACAGCAGACACTTGTAGGCCTGAGGATAACAATCAAAATGAGGTTCTCGTAATGCTAATAATCCAATTAGTTTTTGAGTTTTTCTTATTAGGGCTATTTAAGATGAAATAATTGTTTTAACTTTTTGAATTCATATCGTCATTATTAACATTCTGGTAGAGATGTGAACAAAGAATTGTGTGTGCCTGGTATTTGAGAACACATCTTTAACTAGCCACCAATGCAGATGATCTAATGCAGTGCTATGTAGTATGCACTAAATGTTAACATTCTTAGGTCTCTTTCAAACAATATTGAGTTTTAACATCATCCAGTCTGATACAGGAAATGAAAAGGTGCTGCCTGTTCGTAGCAAAAACCATCAATCACAGTAACTCGCATATCGTGGCCAGGAGAACAAGAGCAATGACACCTGACTCCACAGAGCTATCTACAAGGATGCAAAACAAAATTCTCTATGTTGAATCTGGGAGTTGTGGGCTATGCCATGCCACTGCATGGCTTCCGGGTCAGTGTTACTGTCTACACCAAGGAGTGGACAGCTTGGATTGTATGAGTAGCTATGCATGTTTCACCATGTGGCCAAGAAGTTGTTGGACAATAATTTTTATGATCATGCCTATACTCTTTAAACAAAAAAAAAAACAAAATAAATAAAAATTGGTGGCTTCCTACCTTGATTTGAATACCCCTGAGCTAGTATATCTAGTTTCACTGAGAAGACCAACCAGTTACCTCATAAACTATTAAGTACTTGTTAAAGATGACCACTGTGGATGTAATGGCCGACATGAATAAGAATCATTTTTTTTTCTCTGCATGCAGTCACTTCCAAGACCACATCAAGGACATATTTGAGGCCTAAGGGCAATTTTATTGAATAATTTTTTTTCTGTTAGCTCAACACGTGTACAACTTTCTTTATGAGAATATACTGAATTTTTTTCTAATGAATATTTTTATTTATATTAGAGGTTGTTTTCAATTACCTGGTGCACATTGTATTTTCTTTGTTTCTTGTGTGTGTGCGCATTATATATATATATATATTACTAAGTCTGTTATTTTTTAAATTTTGATTGAAAACTTAATTCCTCCTTTGTTATCATGTATAAAACATTCCATGACTTTTCTGTGTGTAACTGTATTAGTTTTTGTAAAAAAAAAAACAAATGAATATAGAAACATATAAAGTATATTGTGTTTGTAGTAATTTATGTATTTAAGAATATGATAGAAATTGTAATTTTTAGAAATTATTAGGCAAAAACAAACCCCAACATTGTTTTCAAAGGAAGAGAAAAACTTTTTTTGTTCTTGCTTTTCAAAGTTCTTCTGATTCCTGCTTCACTAGGTGCATTGATTCTATATTTTTCTCCTTCTACCATTTGAAGAAAGAAACCTGTTCCATGCTGATTATTGATTCTTTGCATCCAGCTAAATGGGTATCAGCCTGCTCCAAACCAGCTTGCCTCTTACACATAAGTATATCAAGTGTTGACTTATGATTGTAATTTCCATATTGTCTCTAGATACTACCTACAGACAGTTTATGCAGACAGTAGGTGTTAAGACATCCCATTGGTTTCTTCTTCTTCTTCTTCTTATCTCCTCCCTCCCCTCCCTTTTGATTGTGCTACTTTGATTTAGTGCAATAACATCTAGTCTGATATTGTGTGGCTGTTGTGATTTTCTTTTGTTATCATTTGCATTTCCTTATCAACAAATTGTTTCCTTTCAGGAAGTGACCATTGGCCTTGTTTTCTTTTGCAGCATCATTCCCTAATGCATTCAATAGTCAGTCAGCCCAACAGATTCAACAGGCTGCCGCTAATTCCCCAGCTGGCAAACAAACTGAAGGTTGGTGTGTAAATACTATAAGATAGTTATTCTTAAATTGAGTCCTCCTTTTGTTCTTTCTTTTTACAGCAGAAGGTTCACTCAAAACACTTAGCACTTGCAAAACTTTGAAAACAAATATACTGAAAAACAATTTCATGCAAAAATCTGAGTTGACTCTTAATTTTCGGCCTATAGATTTTTTTTCTCTTTAATGCCATATTTCTTTAGAATGTAATCAGTCATGACTCTCCGTAAGTTCCTTTTTTATCTTATTATTACCATGCATTCTTGGGAAGAATACTGGTGTGGTTTCCTGTTGTGTTCTCTATGGTTTGGAATTCAGTTTTCCTTCTGTTAGACTGGTTTCTGCCAAATTTCAGTTTACCTTGCTATTTAATCCACAGTTAAGGAGGAGAAGACAGATTTGTTACTTCCTTTAGTGCATTATGGAAAAGTTAATGCAATATAGTCCAGAGTTTGAACTTGGATATCTAAAACCAATTTCTGTGTTGATATCCATTACACTACCCTCATGCTCACCTTATAGATCATGTTGAAGAAGAGAGAGCCTCTTTGTGTATATTAATAAGATATATTGCATGCTGAATTTTGATAGATTTATAGAAACAGTTTTAATTTAGCAGTCTGGAATTTATTGATTCCATGAACAATATTTCTTTTACACCCAATTCGTATGCATTGTCTAGAACAAGTATACTGGGGGGACAAATGTGTTTTTAATCTATACAGTTTCTTGACTTATTCTGCAATTTGGTATTTCTCTTGAATTTTTATATTGTTTTAGTCCCCTAATCCTAATGTTTTTTTTTTTATCATATTAACTTGTTTTATTTTCAAATGCTTGAATATAATGTATTGTTATAACCAAATTATAATCCAGTTAGACCACTAATTTAACAAGCTTGATACTGGATCAACTTCTGTTAAAACTAATGTCTATACCACATACCACTTGTACTATTAGCTGTTTTTCTTTTCTCTTTTTTTTTAAATCATTGTTCAAATATTAGGTGAATTTCAGGAGCCTTAATCAGTTTTTTAATTAAAATTCGTTAAACACACACACACAATATTACTCACTCATCATTGTTCTGCATAAAGATTAGTTGTTTTGTCAAAAGCTTGAATTGATAACATTAAAACATGATTTTGCTTATCCACATATTGTAAGATTCTACTCTGAGTCATATTATGAATAGGGTTTTTTGGGTTTTTTTTTTAATTTTGAATTGAATCTCTACTATTGATTCTGTCTTGTTAAGAGTACATATTGGCATAGCAATTGGCAGCTTAATGAACAAATCATACTTGTCATTTCATCACTTTGATTTCTCTTTCTATAAGTCTTAGTAAATTTGTTTTTATCAGTTGATGTCCTTTTTTTTTTGTTTTGTTTTGTTGTAGGTCCAGATGGAGCCAACTTATTTATATATCATTTACCCCAAGAGTTCAGTGACCATGACCTCATGCAGACTTTCATCCCATTTGGAAATGTAGTATCTGCAAAAGTTTTCATTGATAAACAAACAAATCTAAGCAAGTGTTTTGGTGAGTATTCTTTTATAGGAAGTTTAATCTTATTTCAACCCCTTATTTATTGCATAAAATTATATCTTGTAGAATGTAAATGGAAGGAAAGTAACCATTTACTTGCTGGACAATTAATTGATTTATGTAACAAAAATATAAAATTCTGAAATATGGAAACATTTCTTGTTTTTTTTATGTAAATATCATCTAAAGCATTTTTAAACTGGTTAGGATCAAATGATATATTTTTTTTTTTTTTAATGACTTGAAATTATTTGTAATGCATGTTATGCCACTTGTTTGTTGTTTTTCTATTGGTAGCAGAACTCTTTGTATATGTTGAAAAAAAAAATAAAGATAATGTAAAGTAAACTCTTAACTTTCAAGTTTACTCTTAAGAATCTTTTTTGAAAAGGTACACTTTGGATTTCTACATCATACTATTTGTAAGTTAGCATTTCACATTTTTTTTTGATCAAAAGTTTATATTGTTTGTTTATGTGAATGTTCATTATGACCATAAACAAAGCAGAACATATTAGCTCTGTTGTTGTGTTTATTTTTTTGAAAAACTTTTCTCTCCTCTCTGGAATGATATCACTTGTGAAAATGTTGTCATGGTTCAGCTTATGATGAAGCCAATTTCAGTCGAATTACTGAACTTTAAAATAAAAATTGTTTTTCTTTTTTAATACAGGTTTTGTGAGTTATGACAATCCGTTGTCAGCACAGGCAGCAATTCAGGCCATGAATGGGTTTCAGATCGGTATGAAACGACTGAAAGTACAGTTGAAGAGGCCAAAAAATGATAGCAAACCATACTAATGTAGAATATCCTTTTTAACTGGTGAGTAAAAATCCAATTATTTTGTTTTATTCCAATCTTTTAGTATATTTAATAGAATTTTTATTCTTTCCACAACTTTTTAATAAATTCAGTCAGACAAACCATCTTCTGCTGCTACAATATTTTTTGTATTTTGTTCACAGCAATATCTTCTCTTGAGTCAGGGTTTATATTCTTTAGAATCTTCAATTTAGAATCATCTGTTTCTTCTTTCTTCTCTTGGTTAATATGTGTGCCTATCAAGGAATTATCAATATATTTTTTCATCTCAGTTAAGAAGAAAGGCTGTTGAGGAACATGTATACTTTATTTCTACTCGCTAATCATCGTAAAATATTATTTTGGGACATTATCTCTCATTGAATCTTTTTGTCATAAAGTCCGATTCACTTGTTCAGCTTGGAAAGAAACTTAGATGTAAAAGAAATACTATTATCAGATGTTGTTAGGATAAGAAAAAGTTTCATTAGTGTTTTCATAATATTCTTTTATAGCTATTAATATTGCTAATAAAAGTGGACTAGCATTTTTCCTTTTTGTAATAAATCTCTTAGACTAGTTATTAAATTAAATTTATCTGAAGAATTTGTTTCAATACAATATTTACAGTTGACATGAGCCTTATATCTGGAAAGTGAATTTACTAAATAAATTTACTAAATAATTCTGTGCTTTGTCCAATTAGTGAATTATATCTATTACTGATGAATACATTTCTAATTTAGGTTAAATTAAATGTAATAAGTGCTGGCTTTATGTACCTTATACATTGTAGGTTACATTAAATGTGTTAATCTCTTGGAGATGTACTTAGTACTGGCTCATGTTCTAGATATCTTTTTGTATCGTATAAGCAGCTGAAATTTTACCTTTTTGTTTTAGCTTGGATGACATCATCCATTCCAAGCAAAGCAATGCCAGTATATAGGTATGTAAATAATATCAAAATAAAGTTGTTTGCAGTAAAATTATTTCACAATAATCTTTATATTGATGTTTTTGCCATTCAAAAAAAAAATTGTCAGTGCAAAATGGTTATTTGGCACTGCATGATCTTTATAGATGTCAGTTTGCTGTATTCAAAACTTATTTTAAATCTAATAGACTTTTATCCCATGTGCTGCTGCTACTACTACTACTACTAATAATAATAATAATTATTGTTATAATAAGGTTGCAGAGTACAATTAATAAAAATAAACGTCTATGGATGAGGGAACTTAGTCAATGTGAGAGTAGGGATACTTATTAGATTTTGTTAAGGAAATGTTATTTTTATCTTTACCTAATCTCTAAACACTAGAATATTTTTTTTATGGCACACTTTGAAAAATAAACTTTTTTTTTAGCTCTTATTGTAGATGAAATATCTGCAATATTTTTTTCCTAAATGCAAGAAAACGACCCTTAAAAAAACGCACACATACACAAGGTAAATTTAGGTAATAGTTTAACATTCACTATAAGTTTTAAAAAAGGTTCAGTTAAGAGTTTTCTTGCAGATTTAACAACTAATGGCAATTTTAGATTTTTGTGGCCAAAAAGAAAATCTCAATCATATACAGAAACTGGTTGTGCTTAAATCATGATATTGCTAGAAAAAGAAAATGGTCAGACTATGGATATCCTAGCTTTCTAACATTATCTTGGAAGGTGGTGTTTTATCATTTTTTTTTTTTCATAAATAACTGGCAAACTAATATTAAAGTGCATGAAAGATGTTTGAACGGCAGGAACAAAAAGCAGCTGCTGCTCCATTTGTTGTCTTTCAGGATCAGTAAAATAACAAAAGATAAAAGGAAATATTGCCTTTGCAATTTTTTCATTATCTGGTTGAAGCATAATAGTAACATCAGTCAGTTATGTGCCATGCGTGATACACACATAGGGAATCATATATCTTTTGATACATGACTGACAAAACAGATTCCCCCCCCAACTAGGTTGCCATTTCTTTCTGTGGTAGACCACTTGCCATCCAAGGCTATAGAACCCGGTCTGTCCTGTTATTTACACCTAGCTGAGGGGAAAAGAAGAGGATTCATACCCTTTCCCAAGGGTATTAGCACATAAGTGATTTGACTGGAATTCAAAGCAGTAACATAATATTGATATAGATATAGGATAGTAACATAGATATTTAAAAAAAAAAAAAAAGAATAGAAAAGAAAATGATATCAGAAGGCCTGTTAAGTGAATATTGATTTGAATAATAAAAGGAACTGATATTATCAAGTGATTAAAAGAGTGCTCAATGCTTTACTACCAGCACAAAATGTATGGTTTATAGAGTTGATTAGATATCAAAAGAATAATTTGAATTTCTTGTTACTATGCATTTTCTGTTAGTATTGATTATACAGTTGAAACTAATGGCTGCATTATATATCCTTCATAAATAGAACTAGGGTGGAATCTCCATCTTCATACTGCTTTTGAAAAGAAAGACAATATTATTTTGGGCACTTGGGATATACTGCACTACTTAAAAGAGGCTGACATTTTTGTTGTTTGTACAAAGAAAGAATTTGTCATGTCATAAGGAAATACATCTTCCAAACTTAAGAACATTGCAATTTTGATCAGTTTGATATTTTTCGTTTTCTGCCTCTTGATACAAATGAACAAAGGTGAATATTCAACCACGTACAAATTGGTATTTTTATTTTCTTGCTAGTAAATGGTCACAACCTTATCTTCAGCCTCAATAATTGTGTAATTTTATCAGGCTTTTCTTCTCATAGCCAGCTATTATGAATCCCCCTGTAGTTTAGGGAAAGTACCATCCTCCTCCTCTCTTTTAATGAAAGATGCCATTGTCTTATATTCCCAATTTTCTCTGATGATACAAAGAATGAATGCACTAACTGCATGCATTTCTTTCTCTTTAACCAATTAGTGTGTCTATTTAAGTTGGTTTCTGTTATTTTTTTTAACTGTAGCAATGTAGAAAGATAATGAGATGTATTGGAATTTTGGCCATTGATACTTTGCTCCCCCCCTCCTAATTTCAATCTTGATGTTAACTTATCAAGATTTAAATTATCAAGATAGCTGTTATAATTTTCGTACATTTTATATTGATTTATTATTAAATTGACCAAGTAAATTAGTCTTTTTGCATTTTTAATAGGCCAATTAGGTTTGCTTGGACACTATTACTATTTATCTTCAAAATTCAAACTGGAAATATAAGAACTAACATGAAATATGTCAAATTTTAATATAGCAGCATTTGAGCAGGTAAGTCATTCTAGAGCTATTTTATATATTAATGTAGTAGTACACTGATATACCTGTAAGAAATAGAATATTGGTCTGGGTCTAATATACATAACTAGAAAAAAAGAGTAAAAATATGAAGTTTCTATCTTCAGAAAACTGTAGACTTGTATTATTGCTCTAAATTAGAATATTTATAGGCTTAAACTAGTTGAGCTGGTCTAACAAATGTATTTCCTAATTAGAAATTATTATCTACAGGCCTTTATAACTTTCATATTAAACAGTTTAATATACAATGTGACTATATGAAGCAGAATTGAATTTGATATTTATTGATCAGCATAGAATTTAGCTTAAGTATTATTCCCTTCCTATTAAATGGTTTAAAAATTTATAATCTGTTATGTTTTTAATTTTATTCTTGTAACATTTAGTAAAATTATTATACATTATTAGACATGTTATTTTGATAATAGGTCTTAAGACTTAATGAATTTGGAATTACTGTAAATAGATAGAGGATGTTTTTCCCTTTTTTTTTTTTTTCTTTCTTTTTTTCTAATTATTATTATATGCTTGTTATGGCATGTTTATATTAATTATATATATTGTAATGCTTTATTTTTCTTTTGATAAAAAATATTGTAACTAAAGTTCTCAGATTTTCAAACAAGAGACTTAATCTATTAATGTTCATTGTAAAATCCAGTATTATGAAAATAAAAATCAGGTATTAATTTTTTTAATCTTATATTAATTATTAAATCTTTCTAAAAGAAAAATTGCTATTATAGGTTTACTAAAATCTGGAATTATTAATTAATATGTTTCTATGTATTTTGGGTCTGGTGGGTAATATGAGGACAATATCATTGTATTTTTAATAGACATTATTACTTATTTGTACTCTCAGAACTTATTTGTATAGCATAATAGACTTAAATTGCATTTGTGTGAGGAAAAGATATATTCTGCAAATAGGGAAAGGCTTTGAAAAATTCTTGGCATAATCCACTTCCCAAATTTGACGAAACAATAGTTTTTTTTTTTTTTTTTTTTGTTTTTTTAGGGAAGGGTTTTTCTTGTTTGTACCTTTTCAGCTACCTCTTCTGCTCATTAATGGGGGAAAAAATTACAAAATCTTACAAAATCAATCTTTGTTGTTATGATTAATAGCAACAAAGATGAGGATATTAGTCTGAATGTAAATAATGATTATTTCCCATCTCAGAAATTCAGACTTTTGTTAGAAAACCCCATCTTACAATAAGATTTTAACACACATATATATATTTGTAGCCTAAAAAAGTATTCTCTTACTATGAAAATGGTATATACGTCTTTTGCTCAATATGTTGTCATATTAGAAAATCCCTTACAGTTTAAAAAAAACAAAAAAAAAACATCAAGGCTATTCCAATTGACACTTGAGATTTCTTGAGAATTCCAAATGTTCACCTTCTCATCACTGTCAGTGTCTTTATTTTATTGGCCTTCCAATGTACTTCTCATAATCATTATTGCTTTTATTACTAATTGTTTTACTGTCATCATTTTTTCAAGTCTTCCACTCACAGGACTTTAACTTGCAATGATTATTTTGATAAAAAAATGGAAACTTGAAGTAGGGAAGTATCAGATTAAAAAGCCTGAAAGAAAAAACAGATCAACTCTCTCTTCCATGATGGAATTTATTTCAATTTCAGTTTTTCTTTTGATCATTGAAATGTTCAATCTAATGAAATTCATTTCAGACTGTGAAGTGGAAACAAAAT